TTTAGGCCGTATGATAGTCAAGGAAGGTAAAATATTTGGAACACTCAGTGCTAATTTCACAGGCAGTCCTCAGGGAGCTCTGCATGGTCCCATGGTGCTGAGGGTCTGGGACTATGGCAAAAAGATGTGGAAGGAATCCATGTCCTTTCACAGACACCCCCTGGATCAGGCAGGGGCTCAGAGCTGATGATCTAGAACTCACAGACTAAGGGTAGAGAAGAAGAAGTAAGAAACACTATTTCCATCTGCTGAATTCAAGACAAAACAACCCTCGCCATATGGGTATTATAAATAGATGGTCCTAGAGGTAGAGTCTCCTTCTGCAGGGAAACCTAAAATAAAGGAGATATTTGAGTTGAGTATTGATTCTTGCCTGGGAAACCCCACAGACAGAGCTTGGTGGGCTGCAGTCCATGGGGTTGCAGAGTTGGACCTGAAACTAAGCGACCAACACTTCCACTTTCAGAGTGTGTCAAATAGACTTGAAACAAATGTATTCTGTGGCAAAGGGACCAGTCTTGGTTGTTGGTGTTACTAAGGGCCCCAAATATCCTCCAGCTCATCACACCCCACCTGCCGATCCTCGCAAAGATTCAGGCACTTACTGCAGCACTATATTTTCTCTGACTTCCACAAAGATGCTCAAGGATACCCCCCAAAATTGCTCATGGAGGGAAAAAAGTCTCATTTGTGGGAACTCAAATGTGTTCCTTCATTAATATGTCAGATCTGTAGATTTAAATGCATACATCAGTGTTTAATGCTCAGCCATTAGCCTGTTTCCTGTGCCTAAGGGGGTCTGATCCATCTGACATTTCATGGCCATTTGTTAACACTCAGGTGGAGTTTGTAAACTGGCTTTAAAAGTCACTGCCAAATAGGCCTTTAACCCCCCAGCTGGAGTTACTGGTGGAGCCAGCAAAATGAAGCAGACTGCATTTCTCAGTCTCCTGCAGGTACAGCATAGTTGTAATGCTTCTTATTTTATTTTCAGCAACGAGTGCCAGTAATCACAAAGCAAATACAGAGGCTGAAGAATTTGGTTTGTAGATTTTGTAAAAATGTGTGAATGTATTCACTTCCAATCCCCAAACCAATATTTAGTATTTGTCCTGATACAAACGGGCACAGTGAAAAGGTGACCTTAAAGTAGAGGATTCTGGGGGTGGAGGAAATGTGTGTGTGTATCTGTATGTGTGTGTGAATGTGAGAGAGTGGCCATGTAACTGGAGGCACACTTGTTCAATTCCTGTGAACACACAAACTCCACAGTGAGAGATGCAGGCTCTAGGTCTGCCCAGACCAGGACACCCCTGTCACCTGGGAGCCAGGGTGCCCCGTGGGTCTCCTGGAGGAGCAGGTGTCGGTGGGACCAAGGAAACTGGATTCAGTTCCCACATCACAGAATTTCCTTCTGAGATCGCACGAGTCTAGGTAATTGCAGGAGGCTGTAACTCAGGCATTCGGTCTGTGCGCTCACTGTGTGCTCAGGCACAGCTGCTGGCTGACCTCTGACACTGCGTGTCCGTCGCTCAGGGAGGTCACCCCTGAAAGGCGGTGCGGTTTTGTCAGGTTGCAGCCGTGATCGTTGCAACATCAGAGACAAGGTGCAGTGCAGAGAGCTCACCTGGACAATGTGAAATCCTATCCATGGGGAGACCCAATCTCTGAAATACACCTGCCCGGGGTCCCCTTCCAGATGCCTGGATGCGGCAGCAGGTGTGGGGGCTGGAGGATGGAGGGATTCCATTCATCCCAGGGCAGTGTTCAGAATAGTCACTCCGCTAGCAACAAGCTGGCAAAGCACACTTTTGTTCTGTCATACAACTGTGTTGTTGGTCTACAAAACATACTAAGGCATCTGTCAATCGTAAAGGAGATCGACCCTGAGTATTCACTGGGAAAGACTGACGCTGAAGCTACTGCTCCAATACTTTGGCCACCTGATGTGAAGGAGCTGACTCATTGGAAAAGATCTTGATGCTGGGAAGTACTGAGGGCGGGAGGAGAAGGGGGTGACAGAAGATGAGATGGTTGGATGGCATCACTGACTCAATGTTTGAGCAAGCTCAGAGAGATAGTGAAGTACAGGAAAGCCTCGTGCGCTGCAGTCCATGGGGTTGCAATGAGTTGGACGTGACTTAGTGACTGAAAAACCACAATGGCATCTGTGTGTAGAATTTGGACAGTAACCTTCCAGAACTGCTTCCTGGAGAGGCAGGGCCTGTGGAGGCCTGCCGTGGTGGGATAGACACGTCACACCCAGGAAGATCCAGTTCCCCTGGCCCATGTGCTCGCCCAAGCCAACTGATATCAGGGCCCTGGCTGGTGGCTTCTCTGTGCTTCTGACCGTGAGCAGGGCTCCCACAGGGGGCATGGCTGCCGTCCACCATGTCCAGTTCCCGCTCGTGATGAGTTTGCAGAAATCCCTGGACCTGGGAGGAAGCCGAGAATCCTCTGTGGGTCCTTTGTTCTTCTTGGGTTTGACTCATGGCCTCCCCAGCAGGACTTCTCCTGACAGTGACCCGGCCTCTACTCTGTGTTTTAGCAGAATTTATTCCATGCATTTTATTCCACCTAATTCAGTTTTAGAGAAAGATTGTTAAAAGAAGTTCTCTCTTTTGTTTGGGACATCTAACGAAAATATAGTAAATAAAAACAATAATACCACTGTCATTAATGACACCTGAAGTAGCATAAACTTAAAGACCAGTGATCTTATGGCTTAAGGCACAGAGGAGTCATTCTGCAGATGAGGCGAAACCTTCAGACCCTTGTGACCCACTCACACATATGGAATCTCAGTCATTCTGGAATTTCATGGAATTCCCATTCCATCATGCAGTTCATCTTAGCTGGCCAATGAATGATGTTTTCCACGGTTTAGTGTGTGAGACAGAGTCACTTGTCCAGAACTGAAAACAGCCACCCCGGCATGGAATTCCTGGTTCTGCTACTGACTCTCAAGAACAATTTTAAGCAGTTGGAGAATTACCCATTCCATAGTAATGCTTGTCCTCAGCAGGGAGAAAATGGAGAATTAAAATGTAAAGTTCTAGCAATGTGGAAATAATAGAATTTGTAATTCATACTTAAACTAAAAGAAAATCCATCCAGTCCTTTAGGATATATCTCTCTGTCAGTCAACCCATCCGTTGAATTAAAAATCTCGTGCAGTTACAGTTTTACAATATTCTACCTAATTCACTTGCTCCTTTCTAGCCAGAGCTCTCAGGTTCTGATTTGTGGCAGATTATTAAATTCACAAGTTGGATTGAAGTAAAAATAAAATAATCTACATGCTCTTCACTCTGAGATTTTCTGTCCACACTTTGATGGACATTTGACACATTTGTCAGGAAATCCAGCCTCCTAACCTAGGTGCAATGATACTGGCTGCAGAATTGCCTATAAAAACATTTAGTGATCTTGTTTAAGCTGAAGCCGAATGCTAATGAAAAAGAAACAAGCAAACACAAAACCTGGAGGCCTGGCATCCCAGTGTCAGGTCTCCCAGATAATCACATCACTTTACTTAATTTAGGTGATACTTTCTCTTGAAACGTGCAGGGCTGCCCACATGCCTCATCCCAATTCTCTCTCCCTCTCTCTTTTTCAGTTAATAGAGTTTCCTGTCCTTTCTTTGCTGCTGATTGTGCTCAATGGAGGGCTTCCCAGGTGGCGCTAGTGGTAAAGAACCTGCCTACCATGTAGGAGACTAGAGACATGGGTTCGATTCCTGGATTGGGAGATCCCCTGGAAGAGGGCATGGCACTCACTCCAGTATTGCTGCCTGGAGAATCCCATGGACAGAGGACCTGGTGGACTATAGTCCATGGGGTTGCAAACAAATGACTAGAGCAACTTAGCACGCATGCGCCAGTGCTCATTGGAATAGTAACAGCTAAATGCAGCCAAAACTGGGGAAGTTGCGCAACATAGAGTGTGAAATGTGTACGGCTATAACCTAAAAGGCTAAAATGGGTGCCCTTCTGGAAAATGAATAGTTTAGTCCCATAGCTCCATAATCGTCATTTTAACTGAGACTTTAAAAATAAATCAAGGTTCTCAATACAGGGACTCGACGCCTTGATCTGGCTAACAGTGTTAGCCTTTAGGCCTTCAGTGTTACCTGTCTGGGTGTCTGATGCCTGGTTTGGCTACATGTCCCCTCCCCACTCCTCACCTCTTTAAGATGAAACTCCCTGGGATGCTTTCTGCATCAGACCTCTTATGACTGCCTTCCTCCTCATTGAATCCCCAGCCCCAAAGACACTGCTGGACGTTTCCTGAAATTGGACTTATTTTATGACACCAGTCCTTCCTCTAGAATTTCATAAATAGTTCAGGAATCTAATCTCTCACTGGAAATCCTTCCATCCTTTTCTTCACTACACATGTTCAATAGGGTTACAGAATTTGTATTAAGTGTCTCCTCCTTATTCCAAGTGTCTCTTCCTTTCTTTTGACTTTTATTTACCAGATAAATACCATAAAATATGAATGAAAAATAAGTAGAAGAAATAAATGGAGAAACCATAACTAAGGAATACCCTTTAACAATTTTATATTTGAGATATTACTTATGTTCCCACAATCTGAGAAAAATTAAAAAGCTGAAAAGGAAAATGTATCAAATATATATATTATACATATATTTATATATATAAGTGGAAAATTTTTCAATACCATTTGCATTCAAGGCTGTTAGTCATTTGACAATAAAGATAAGCAAATTATGAATGTATTACTTCTATAATTTTTGATGGATGTATGTAGTCCATTGACAATGTTGTGTTAATCTCTTCACTACAGCAGAGTGACTCAGTCACACATGATACACAGTCTGTTTCACCTTCTTTTCCATTCTGGTGTATTCCAGGCTGTTGCATATAGCTCCCTGTGCTAGACAGTAGGACCCTGTTGTTTGTCATGAATGTGGTGCTTTTACAGAAGACACACTCTCCAGCATGTTTTTGTTGGTTTTGCTCATTTTCCAGCTGGCCACTGTGGCTCCCCGGACCCCATTGTGAATGGTCACATCAGCGGTGACGGCTTCAGTTACAGGGACACAGTGGTGTATCAGTGCAACCCCGGCTTCCGGCTCGTGGGGACTTCCGTCCGGATATGCTTGCAAGACCACAAGTGGTCCGGACACACCCCAGTCTGTGTCCGTAAGTACCTTCTATGGACTAATTTGGGCGGTGTTTCCCTTAGAGCTGTTTTCCTTTTGTGGTTAAGTTGTAGTGCAGACATGTTTGATCTCAGAGGAGAAGATGGAGAGCTGGTGGGAGAGAGGGAACACGGGCACTCCCCTGCTTCTGTCTCTGGTCCTCCTCCCATTCCATGTTTCCCCAGCCCGCCTCCAGCCTCCCATCCACATTGCGTTTGCTCACCAGCTCATCTCAGATGGGTCCCAGGATGAGGATGTCAGGCATTTATTCCCCTAGGCGTCATCACAGGACAACCAGGTGGACACAACCTCCGACTAGTGGAGGGCAGAGCTGCTGAGCCTGAGTCTGCAGGTCAACTTCGCAGGTGCCCCCCGTGCCCACCCCCAGTCTTCTGAGTTGTTTTGTGTTTCTGTCATTGCTTCATCAAGAACACAGACAGCTTTGTACTCAGACCTTCCTTTCCTAGAAGTTGAAACTTTATGTAACAATTGTCCTCAAACTTTCTAACTTCAAAGGCAAATTCTGGCTATTTTTAGAAGACATTGTACCTCTATTGCAAATTTCCTTTTAAACCAATTTTTCCTAATATGTTCTCTATTTTCCTAAACAAAGGGAGCGTTGATATAAGTTTACGACAATGACGAATCTTCTCTGTGATAATGCTATGGTAAATGTACAAAGTCAAGGGTGAAAGTTTTACTTAGAAGGGAAAATGGTTGACAAGATAAGTGAGAAGAACACCGGTTTTACCACTGTAATGTGTTTCTTTTGAAAGGGCCAGTCAAGAGTATCTTCATGATTTGTGTTACTGTGTTTGTGGGCATCACAGGATGACAGTTGGCTGCATAAATGGGAGATGTTGAAGAAAATAGAATTTGAGCATGCCCTCATTTTTGCTAATTTCATGATGTTTAGATTGATTATGGAATAATTTATACATACATAATTTAAATTTTCAGTTAAATTCCTTTAATATCTCAAAATGAGAATTCCACTTAATTAGCTGATGTTTTCTAAGGGAAAAATATTCAAAACTCATGATTAACCAAAAAAAATTTTGCATCTTGTTTTTCATTGTTTTATTTCAAAGTTACTTGATATTCCATCATGATGTAAATAAGAAATAATAATTGTGATTATGAACAAAGGCAGATGCTGGTTATTTTCCACAATTATTTATAATAAAAACCTGTGGGTTCAACCCACGACTCTCCTGATATCCACTTCCAAATATAAATACAATCTGTGACATATCTGATCTGCTGTCAACCCTCTAATTCACACGTTTAACACATATGAATATGCATGATGAAGAATTCCAGGTGAGGGTGGTGACTAGTTCATCTTCTGACCACCATGTGGGCCTGTCTTCCTCCATAGCCATCACCTGTGGACACCCAGGGAACCCCGCCCATGGGTTGACCAACGGCAGCGAGTTCAACCTGAACGATGTGGTGAACTTCACCTGCAGCCCCGGCTACCTGCTGCAGGGTGCGTCTCGAGCCCAGTGTCGGAGCAATGGCCAGTGGAGCAGCCCCCTGCCCACCTGCCGAGGTAGGAGAGTCCCCAGTCAGCAGGGACGATCACACACCAGGGGGCCTATCTGCCTGCTTGGAGGGCTTCTGCACACGCTTTCCATGTGGTGGGATAAATATTTCTGAGGATGATGCGCAAATCTCTCCATGGTCTCTGGTCTTTGGCCAGATATTCAGTCACAGAACCCTGGGACTTCATGCTTCAAAGACTTCTTCCATTTATCCTTCTCCTCATTTAGGCACTCATTTATCTCTACCACATATATTCCACACCTTTGGTCCTTACGCTTCTAGACTTAGGGATGCACTTAAGAAGTTCTAACTGCTTTTAGATCTCAAGTTTTAGATCTCAGGGCTTCCCTGATAGCTCAGTTGGTAAAGAATCCACCTGCAATGTGGGAGACCTGGGTTCAACCCCTGAATTGGAAGGATCCCTGGGGAAGAGAATGGCTACTCATTCAGTATTCTGGCCTGGAGAATTCCATGGACTATACAGTCCAAAGAGTTGGTTGCAAAGAGTTGGACACAACTGAGAGACTTTCGCACTCACACTTAGATCTCAAGTTTTAGAAATTTGCTTCTTTAAAAATTGTCACACAGATTTGGATTAACACCTAAATTTCCAAGGAAATTCTGCTCTGTAGTTTTTTGAGTTTTTAAGAGTTTAGAGAACTTGGATACTGACAGGTTCATCTTGTAGCTTTTAATTCATGCTGTTTAAGGTTTTGCTCCAATTACTTTGCATTAAAACATCTCTCTTATTGAAGATGAACATTCTTCCGTGTGAAGGTGAAGTGTTATTTCTGTTTGTTTTTGGTAGTAACAGTATTAAAGCCAGACACTTACAAAGGTCCCATGCTCTGACAATCACCCACCTTCCCACTGGGTACCCAAGGGAGCTCTATTCAAAAGCAACAATAGCAGGGTGGGAATTCAAGCTGTGCTTCAAAAGGCAGTTACTTGAAATTTGGCTACCTACCTGTTCAGACTGGCACACGTCTATATCAGAGTGCTTGGCTGCAGCTCAAAAACAGAGTAATGCCACCTCATTCCACTTCCCTCTAAAACTCCCTTTTCAACATGAGAAAGTCTTGCCATGAAGAGCAGACCCCAGGTTCCCTGTTCTCACTGTCCCCAGAAGGCAGGCTTCAGGTGTGTCCTGTTGGGGGAGGAGAAGTGAAGTGTTAGTCACTCAGTCATGTCTGACCCTCTGCGACCCCACAGACTGTAGCCCACCAGGCTCCTCTGTCCATGGGATTCTCCAGGAAAGAATACTGGAGTGAATTGCCATTCCCTTCTCCAGAGGATCTTCCTGACCCAGGGATTGAACCTGGGTCTCCTGCATTGCAAGGAGATTCTTTATTGTTTGAGCTACAGGGAAGGAAAGGGTGGAGTATCTCATGGAGATGCCCCTGGTTTCTCGTCCCAAAGCCCGTGCTGGTCTCCTGATAATGCAGGGCATCTGGTCAGCCTGGACCTTGGCAGGTTCACCTTGTGGATTACATGTTATTGTTAAATCGTATTAGTTAGGGGCAGTGATTGGGACGAATGGAGTTGGGGGATGTCTGGCACGAGTGAGCTGGCACAGCTAGTTGGCGTCTACATGTGTCTGGCCCCTCCCCTTCAGCGGGGCACCCCAGCAGCCCCTAGTGCTTGCTGAGCATGGAGTGTGCATGACTGTGATAGCCACGGTGACTCACTCATCCCTCTCACAGGGAAACACGGGGCCCACGTGTCTGCCCCGAGCCCTGGGCACTTGGACAACAGTGGAGAGACTGGGCTGTGGTATCCGCCACTTGTCCCAGCAGCTTCAGAGACTGGCTAAAGATTCAGTTCAGTCACTTAGTCGTGTCTGACTCTTTGCAGCAGGTGGCCAAAGTATTGGAGCTTCAGCTTCAACATCAGTCCTTCCAATGAATATTCAGGACTGATTTCCTTTAGGATTGACTGGTTTGATCTCCTTGCAGTCCAAGAGACTCTCAAGAATCTTCTCCAGCACCACAGTTCAAAAGCATCAGTTCTTTGGTGCTCAGCTTTCTTTGTGTCCACCTCTTACATCCATACATGACCACTGGAAAAACCATAGCTCTGACTAGACAGACCTAGGTGAAGGTTAAAAAGCTTTAATCAAACTGTTTTCTCTATCCACTATGACAGGGAAAGATAGCTCAACAGTAAAAATGATTAAAAATGAAGGCCCATAAATTTGGGTCCAGTTAATGTTCATGGGGGTTACGGCATAGGCCATAAGGCATAAGGCCATAAGGCATAAGGCCTTTGATGTCTTAGGCATGTAGGGACTTCTAGATCCATCCCTCCAGAACCCTTCTCTCAACCTAAGGTTTACTAAGTACCTACTATGTTCTGAATGCCATGCCATATACTGTCAATACAGAGCCGGCTGAAATAATTCATACATTTATGCAGATAATAATTCAGAGATCAGGGCTGGTTAATTAGGGAGGAAGGTCCGCAGCTGCTGAGATTGCCCCCTGGACACAGGACATTCTGGCTGAAGGAAAGATGGAATAAGTTCAAATAGCGGGCTTTTAATTATCAAAATTTCTCTTCTGTACCTCACTCTCCTTTGTCATTGTTTAGTCACTAAGTCGCGTCTATACTCCTGTACAGACTCCATGGACTGTGCCTGCCAAGCTCCTCTGTCCACGGGATTTCCCAGGCAAGAATATCGGAGTGTGCCATTTCCTTCTCCATCATTTTCATCCAACCTATGCCAAAGCAATGGAGGAGAAATCAAATGCCTGTCATTTAACAATAGTTCTGGGTGTTTAGGGCTTCCCCTGTGGCTCAACTGGTAAAGAATCCACCTGCAATGCAGGAGACCCTGGTTCGATTCCTGGATCAGGAAGATCCACTGGAGAAGGGATAGGCTACCCACTCCAGTATTCTTGGGCTTCCCTTGTGGCTCAGCTGGTAAAGAATCCACTTGCAATGTGGGAGACCTGGGTTCAGTTCCTGGGTTTGGAATATCCCCTGGAGGAGAGAAAGGCTGCCCACTCCAGTATTCTGGCCTGGAGAATTCCATGGACTGTATAGTCCATGGGGTCACAAAGAGTCGGACACGACTGAGCAACTTTCACTTTCACTTGGTGTTTTACCGTAGGTGCTGGTCCTTTAACAGTCTGTGGCTCAGTGTGAAGGAGGCCTGGGTGCACTTTAATGACTTCAGCGTTAATTTTGACTTGTCTTTTCTTGCTGCCTTTTCTTGAAAAATTGGAAAAGACTTATTTTTTTAATAGATTTTATTTTTTTAGAGCAGTTTTAGGTTCATAGCAAGATTGAGCAGAAGATGCAGAGGTTTCCCAGTACCCCTTGCCCCCACAGTGCACTAATTATCAACATCCCTGCAAGATGACACATTTATTAGCACTGATGGTCCTACATGGCACACGTTGGCTGTGCTGGGTCTTCGCTGCGGCTCGGGTTTTTCTCTAGTTGTACCAAGCGATGGCTGCTCTCTAGTTGCACTGCTCAGGATTCTCATTGTGGTGGCTGTCTTATCACAGAGCATTGGCTCTAGGGCATGAGGGCAAGCTCGAAGGCTTAGTTGCCCCTCAGCATGTCATCTCAGACCAGGGATTGAATGTGCCCCCTGCTTTGCAAGGCAGATTCTTAACCACTGGACCACAAGGGAAACCCAGGGTTTCAGTTTTAACATAGGACCTATGGGTTTGGACAGGTGTATGATGCCATGTGGCTTCCCAGGTGGCAGTGGTGGTAAAGAACCTGCCTGCCAATGCAGGAGACATTAGAGACTTGGGTTTGATCCCTGGGTTGGCAAGATCCCCTGGAGGAGAGCATGGAACCCACTCCAATATTCTTGTGTAGAGAACTCCTGAACAGAGGAGCCTGGTGGGCTACAGTCCATGGGGTCACACAGGGTGGGACATGACTGAGGCAACTTAGCAGGCACACATGAGGACATGTAGCTGTCATTGCTATACCTGCCAAGTGTTTTCACAGCCCTAACATTTCCTTGTTCAGCCTCCTCAGCCTTCCTTCTTCCCCTCAGCACCTGGCAAGCCCTGATCTTTTTATCATATCCCTAGTTTTGCTTTTTCTAGAAAGTCAAGTTGCAACCACAATATGTAACCATTTCAGATCTGAATTTTCATTTAGTGTATGCATTTAAGTTTCCTCTGTGCCTTTTAATGGCTTGATAGTATGTTTTTAGGGATGAGTAAAATCCTCTGTCTGGAAGGATCACAGTCTATCTGGAGATTCACCTCCTGAGAGACATCTTGGTTGTTTCCAAGCTCTAGCAACTGTAGATAAACCTGCTGTAATCATTCCCATGTGGGATTCTGTGTGGACAGAAGTTTTTAACTCCCTTGGGTAAATATTAAGGAGCAGGATTTCAGGATTGTATGGTAAGAGCTATGTTTAATTTGGTAAGAAACCACCAAACTGTCTTCATAACTGGCTGCACAGTCTGATCCCCAGCAGCAATGATGAGAGTTTCTGCTTTCCCCATCCAGATTGGCATATGCAGTTGTCCGTGTTCTGAACGCTGGCCATTCTGATGGGTGTGCAGTGGCATCTCTGGTTGTTTAATTTGCATCTCCCTGAGGACATATGACCTGTAGCATCTTTCCTTGTGCTCATTTGCCATCTGTAAGTCTTCTCTGCTGCGGGGTCAGTTATGGTCTGTGGCTCATTTTTCAGTTGGGTTGTTTTCCATTGTTGAGTTTTAAGAGTTCTTTTTCAGTTTTCTTTTATTAGCTGTGTCATTTCTAATATAGTCTCTTATCCCGTGGCTTATCTTCTTGTTCTCTTGACCCTGCCTTTGGAAGAGCAGACCTTTAAAGTGAGTACTTAATTTTAAAAGCTGGCACCTCCAAAACGCTGATAAAGGGGGAGATGACCAACAAGTGTCATCATCCCAGCCTCAAGGCAAGCAGAAATCCCCCGGCAAGCCAGGTGCCTCGTGCTCACATTTTCTGCTATTCTCTGTTGCTTTGTGTTGCTTCGTTTATGAACTACAGGGTACTGTCTAATTCACAGAATTTACATGTATATTATTCAATGAGGAAAAGCATGGTTTCAAAGAGGTCAGGTTCATAAGGATGGTAAAGTGTCAGGAAAAAAAAGTGACAAGAAATTTAAAAAGTTGAAGTTAACAGAAATAACTCCCCTATTAACACAATTTCCAGAGATTCTCCATGTGCCCTGCATTATGGTCTGATTCTTCTCTGTGTGATTCTTTGAATAATTCCCCAGACATTCTAAGGTGTTGTATCTTGTGTAAGCATGCTGTTGTGCTTCATTTCTTCCCCCCTCCAAATCTTGGATACAAGTCCCCCATGTCTAATATTGGGGATCAATGAGTTGTGGAATCCTGAGCATGCATGCTCAGCTCCCGAGCCGTGTCTGACTCATTGCCACCCATGGGCTGCCGTCTGCCAGGCTCCTGTGTCCATGGGATTTCCCAGACAAGAATATTGGAGCAGGTTGCCATTTCCTTCTCCACAGGATCTTTCTGACCCAGGGATCAAACCTGTGTCTCCCGCACTGGCAGCTGGGTTCTTTACCATCTGAGTCCCCTGGGAAACCAGCCCTATAGTATCTGGTTAATGATGTGAAAGAGAAACTCTACCAGAACTTTGGAATGAAACTCCAGGTAAATCTGTGCTCAAGTGAGGCTGGTTTAGATGCAGATTTCCAGTCTCTCCACTTGAATCACATGTTATCCTCAGACTCAGCCCTACTCAGAAGAACACTCAGGCCATGCCTGATGCATTTGTGATAAATCAGTTCACCGTCATCCAGGAACTGGGAAAGATTGAAGGCAGGAGGAGATGGGGATGACAGAGGATGAGATGGTTGGATGGCTCTGATTCAACGGACATGAGTTTGAGCAAGCTCCGGGAAAGAGTGAAGGATAGAGGAACCTGGCATGCTGTAGTCCGTGGGGTCACAAAGAGTTGGACACGACTGAGTGGCTCAACAACAACAATATACAGGAAAGGACTCAACCCCCCCGCGCTACCTTTGCAAACAGGACCAGGAAAATAAATAAATAAATAAGACACATTTTTTTGCTGATAGTAATATCTTTCTGGAGTAAATAAGTTGTATGGCTGCAGACTTGGTAACATGGAATGAAAATAGACATTGTCATGTGTACTCCAAGAGTCAGGTTTATGTCTGCTATTTCAAGGCCCTGTTTCTATAGAAGAGCATTCTCTGAGTCTTTATCTCTTAAATTCCAAAATACATGTCAAGTTCAAGGACAAGAAATGAGGTAGACCAAGTCTGACAGTCTTAGGATGACTCACAGTGTTTTCTTTCCCCATGTAAAAATTTTTGTGTTACAGGCAAACATTAGGAGGTTTTATTTTTTTCCATCTTATCTACAGTTTTGTTGGGTTGATCATTTTAATGCAGAGGATATATGTCCTTTGCTGTTACATACATGAGGATAAAGAAAATTAAGAAACTATGGGGTGAGTGAAGGCGTTGTTCTGATTAGAGAGGAATGAAAAAGGAAACAAACAAAAAAAACCAAAAACTCACTAAACTTACATAACTGAATCTGAAAGTGTTTACCTCAGATTGGGACTCTAACCAATATGGGTGGGACTGAAACCAAGCCAAAACCCTGCTTGGGACTTGAACCCATGTGGCTGGGACTCAAATCCAGCCAAAATCCACAATACCTGGTTTCGAGACCTACTGGAACTCAGGTTCTTGATGTCTCATCGTGGAAAGAATTCAGTGAGAGACAAAGTGATAGGTAAGAAGTGAATTTATTCAGATACAGAGAGACGCACACTTCACAGAGTGTGGGCCCTGGCAGAGGGCGAATGTGGCCACGAAATTTGGTGTGGTTAGTTTTGACAGGCTGGGTAATTTCATATGCTAATGAGTGGGAGGATTATTCGAAGGGGTGGAGATTTCCAGGATTTGGGCCACCGCCTACTCCTTGGTCTTTTAACAGTTCCATGGAACTGTCACAGCACCTCTGGATGTGTCATTTCACTTGTTGACTGAGGATTAAGGTCTAGTCTTGTCTGTCACCTTGATCCCATTTGATTCTAATCGGTTTCTGTTGCATTCTTGTGCTAAGTCATCCTCTCAAAAGTTGTGCCCTGCTGCTTTCCCTCCTGTTACAAATCCAGAGTCTTGTAGTTAGTTAATCCTCAGCTTCGCTGGAGAACATCAGCTTTCTTCTACAAATGGGCAAAGAGGGTTTGGGTTTCTGTGAGTGCTAAGTAAACCAGCGCATGTGACATGCTTAGCAAAGTGCCTGACACATAGTAGGTTCTCAGTCTCCCCACCCCCACCTGTCTCTGAAATTTAACTAGAATCAATTATAATCAATGAGAATGTTTCTTCTTTATCAAACCTGAATATCACATTACACCAAAAATCAATTTCTTTATTTTTATCAGTTATTGATACAAGATGAAAGGTTACCTTCATGTATTTGAAAAACAGTCATAAGAAATTGTTTTTTGGGTTTTTTACCCCTGTGACCAGTAATCTTATATTTAAATTTTGATTCATGCAGTTAGTAAACAAGCTGAAGACATTTATTCTGTGCAGTACACTGAACACTGCAGAGTCATCTCACCTTCAGTTGTCCTCTCAACTTTGCATAATTCCTTCTACTGGAAAATTTAAAAACAAATATTACTCAGAACTCTAATCAACTATGAATACTTTAAAAAAAAAGTGAGTGAACTAATCCTTACCCATTTTTTCCCACTGCCAAAGAATTTAATTTGGCTATAGTTTCCATTATGGAGCATCATTTTATTGTATTTCCTGTTTGTGATCAGATTTTTAATGAGCCATAAAAGAAAATAAGAAATAAGCAAGAAACAGGAGTAAACATAGAAAAGGAAATGTAAACAAATTGTAAGATAAAAGAATTAAGAAGATAAGAAAATGGTTCTTTCCTCCTTTCCTCCTCCCTCCCTCCTCCCCTCCCCTCCTTCCGCCCTTTTCTCACAAAGCCCTACGTCCACTGCTGGAGGCTCAGGAGGCCTCAGGTGGTCCAGAGCTCTGACCCTCACCCTTGTGACCTCAGACATGTTGCTGATCCATTACATGAATGTCTTAACCCCCAATAAACACAAACGTCCTCCAGGACTCCATGTGGGCTGTGTGTGTATGATACAATCTTTCCCTTTCTCCCCAACTGAGGACTTCCTCTTCTGTGTCAGGTTTTAACACCTGAACATCAAGGCCAGGTCTCTGCTTAGTGTGTTGAGGGGTGTGATGCTGGGATGTGGGAAGACCCCCACAGTGAGTCTGTCACCGGTTTTACTCTGACGTGTTACCCTCTGCTAGACACTGTGTCTCCAACTAAGAGAATGTAGCAGTTGCCACAGGTCTGAAATATGGGCGAGAGCGTGGCTCCCACAGCTGCCCTTCAGCCCTGGGCGGCCTGAGTGCAGACAGTCCCGGCCCCTTCTCTCCTCTGCACCTGTGGCGGCTGGTCCCCTCCCCGACACCAGCAGGCACTCAGGCTCGGAGAACACGTCCCCTGTCCCTGCAGTTTCTACAGGGGAAGACCTCAAACCAGGCGCCACCTTATTTTACATTCTATTAAGTGTTGATGGAAGACGTCTCAGGTGGTGCTAGCGGTAATGAACCTGTCTGCCAGTGGAGGAGACGTAAGAGATGCGGGTTCAATCCCTGGGTTGGGAAGATCCCTTGGGGGAAAGGCATGGCAACTCACTCCAGTATTCTTGCCTGGGAAATCCCTAGATGGAAGAGCCTGGCGGGCTACAGTCCATGGGGTCACAAAGAGTTAGACACGATTGAGACAACTTAGGACAGATGTTTAACAGAAATCTCTGCAGGCATATATTGAAGCATTAGTGCATGTTGATGGGGGTAGGGGGAGGAATTAATTTGTGTGTCCCAGGCTGTCCTAAACCCTCACACTCACATACGAAGACTTTAACTTCAGCCATTTCTACTGTAACATTTTCATAACGTAAAAATATAAGCAGGAAAACTAATTTTAGACTTTACATTGAAGAAGCTTATTATTAGGAAGCAGTTAAAAGGTATCAGCCTCATGTTAAAATTGCTGTAGAAGCCAATATGTTGCTCGATATTTTTTTGAAGCCTGGTGACCCAGAGCAGGAAGTGGAGCTCCTCAAGGCTGCAGGATTTCACACTGAGCCTTGGCTGTGAGGTTGTCATCCTACAAACTTCCCAAAACCACGAGGAGGAGTTCACCTTCTCTGCAGTCTGTTTCATTTATAAATGTTGTTGTTGTTGTTTAGTCAGCCATGTCTGACTCTTTGTGACCCCTTGGACTGCAGCCCACCAGGCTCCTCTGTCCCCCTGGGATTCCCCAGGTGAGCACCCTGGAGTGGGTTGCCATCCCCCCTTCCAGGGTTGTAACTGTAGAGCTGTGTATAAACTATGTGTGATATGCTCCCCTCCACAGTGGTGAACTGCTCCGACCCAGGCTTGGTGGAAAATGCTGTTCGTCATGAGCACCAGAGCCTCCCCGAGGGTTTTGAGTATGGAGTGACTGTTGTATATCAGTGCAAGAGGGGCTTCTACCTGCTGGGATCTTCTGCCCTCACCTGCATGGCAAACGGCCTGTGGGATCGCTCTCTGCCCAAGTGTCTGGGTGAGTGGGGTCGTCTGGCCTTGAAAGAACACTGCCAACACAACATATGTAGTTTTTTTTTATACTATTCAAAAAGGTATTGATTTTTTATTCTCTCGACCTGACCCCATCACAAATCATATTAGTTTTTATGGTATCTTCAAGAGGGCAAAGAACCTGGTCAGCTCTGCCTGGACCCTACTGTCCCTGTGTCCACTCATCAGAGCTTGTTTCCTGCTTCAGCCCGGCAGGTGGGCAGATCCACCGGTTCACCCAGGTGCCAGCAGCCTCCAGACTGTGCCTCTCGAAACAGACCTGCCTCCCTGGGGACTCAGGTTCAGAGATACTGCAAACGGCTGTAGTAGGGAGTCTCCATCTATGGACCCAGTATCTGTGGCCGGAAGCGTGGAGCACTCTGGGGGCCTCATTTGTCTCATCAGCTCTTCCGGGACAGTCCAGTATGAGCCTGATAAAGAAGACGGCATCTTGGTCGGCACTTCCTCCTGACCCTTAGGTTTAACTAAGAAGAAGAGCGGGGTGCTGCTCCAGGCAGACAGAATTACAGGTCACGGCTCTGGCTTCCCAGAAAAGGTTATTAACAGTATGCAGATGATCAGGGGCATTTTCTTTTTCACCCACTAGCTATAATATTACTTTCTTTCCCTTGAAATAGCATATTGTCCTTGAGTTCAAAGAGAATTGTCTTGTGTCTTTTTAAAACAGAGTCTGAAAATGAAGGAAAGTGAGTCACTCTCCTTGGTCTTTTAAAAATCAGAAACAAAACCATTCTTAAAATCAATATCTTTTTAGTATTCATTTTTCAGGCATACACAAAACGGGAAATGACAACATTATAAATTGAAATAAAGGTGATAGTCCATTTTAGTCTTCATGATTACAGCGTTTTCAGTACATTTTCAGAGTGGACTGGTGCTGGAGACTTTTTTCCTGCAAGTCAAGGTCCCTCAAAGCCTTTTGTATCTTCCCGGAAACCTGTGTCAAATTCTAAGTGTAATAATACAGTTAATTCTTATGGAGAAAGAGAGTGATGACTTTCAAAAACAAATGTACAGGCTTATATGACCTATAAAAAAAAAAATCTATAAATATGTTACAATTCTCATCAAATTGTATGTGTTCTGGTTTTCCGTGCCTTCACACATGGGAATTTTTCAGAGAAATTAATTTTATTTTCTCCCCAAAGATTTGCTGAGCCTCTTCCCCAGCATCCCCAAGACTTCCATTGGTGGTTGTGATGATGCCCCTGCGCCCCAGACCTCCAGGAACCAGCTTTTCACTGACGTCTTTTTCTGAATTGATGAGTCCCCACTGCTGTTATCATTAACTGCTGGAGTTATGGGAACTTGGGAACACATGCTCTCCAAGGAGCGCTTGTTTACCACAGACTCTGCAGCGACTGACCACCCTCTCTATTTGTGATGTTGTGTGGTTTACTGATTTTTTTATCTTTTGTTTCACCTGGAACTGATCATCCACCAAGCATGTCACTGATTCAGCGCTAGTTAGCTTCTTTTTAGGACTCTAGATAAACTCCTGTTCTCTGATGAATGGTTGTCAGGATGAGAGGGTGTCAGGGGAGGGCGAGTGTGACTCGGGGGGCACTGGGGCCTTTCTGAAACCTGCCTCCCTAGTTGGTGTCGCCCTGCAGTTGCCGATGACCAAATGCAATCTCTCTTGGATGTTAAATCAGCTCCCTTTGGATCATTTCTGGCACCCTCAGTCCAGTTGATAGCTTCCAGTGAACGATGTTGAATTCGTGATCTCCGAAGGAGAGGATTCTGCTTCAGAACCAAGGACTAGGCTTGATCACTCAGGAGATTTTGTATAGCAGAGTTTTATTAAAGTATTAAACGGGGACAGAGAGTGCCTCTGACATAGACATCTGCAGGGGGACAGAGAGTGCCCCACTTGCTAGTCTTAGGAAAGGGAGTTATATACATTTTTAATTGGTTATTATAATAAATCAAAAGAATGTGTTTCAAGTTTGTAAAAATCTTACTAGACCCACTCCCACAATTTACATTTTAAGATAACAAGATTAGTCAGGAGGTTTTCAAGAAGGAGAAAGTGTCCTCAAGCAGGATACATTATTGTTATGTAATCCTTAGTATAGAGTTTAAACTGCATTGTTTGTTGCCTAACCATCAGTTCCAGGCTTAAAGAAAAAACCATTTTATTTTCTATGACTAAGACTAAGGAATGTAGAGGGGAAAAAAAAAAAAAAAGATGTTTGTCTTTTCCTCTTCCTTGAGAATTCCAGGCCCCTCTCTCGGAGAGAGGGGCTTTCTTATCAACCTGCCTCCCATTCCTCCCTTTTCTTTTAGGAGAGTTATTTTGCCAACGGAAAGGGGCATTGTTTTCAATTCATAACTACTTCCTACTGTTTAGAGGTGCCATCCCTAAATTGTTGAGGCAACATATTCTCCTAACCCTCATACTGAGGGTCTTAGATCCAGGGGCCCCAAGTAGTAGTTGAAGGAGGTTGTGGCTCAGACAGTTAGAAACAAACCCCATTATACAGGTCTAGATATAAGGCAAAATAGTCATTAAACCAAGTTAAAACATAATCAAAATTAAAAGTCACATTATGTCCATAGTTACATCCATCCATCTTAGGATTGTTGGATGTCATTGCAGAGTTGAGGAAAGTCCTTTCCTTGACGAGGAGAAACCCACCTTGTTAAGCCTTCAACTGATGAGCAGGAGAGTGCTCCACAGACCCAGTAACTAGACCAGTTGTAAAATGCAGCATAGGAATGAGCCCAGGACTAGAAGGCATTGTCTTGAGGGTCAAACAGCAGACTCAGGATTTTGGAGTCAGCAGAAGCAAGCCCGCATATATTCTCAGGCCCATCTAGGTTCCGGGCTCAACCAGTGGCTTATTTGACTCAAAGGCTGGGTCAGGAGTTAATCTCCTGGAAAAGTCTGCTGAAAAGCTAAAAGCTGAGACACATAGTTAATTCTAAGGCTTCCAGATCTATGACAATATCTGTGCACAAAAAACAGTCTGTCACAGAGACACTCCCTTCTTCTTAGGGGCAGCTCAAGCCCTTATTAAAGCTATGGGTAAAACTTTAAACCAACAGTCTTGTGTTTCCTGAGTTACCTTATTCAGATGCCTCAATAATGTCACTAGCCTTTTAACTTTTTCTGAAAGTTGGGGTCTCCAGGAACACTGTAAGTGATATTCTATTCTTAGAGCTTTTGACACCCCTTGAGTTACAGCAGCTTTAAAGATGGAGCCATTCTTGCTCTGAACTTTAGAGTTTAAGAACCCACTTACATCAAGAGAAGTCAGTACAGCAAGATTTTGTCCATTAGTAGACTTATGAGCTTTAGTCATTAGCAAACAATAGTAGCAATTACCCTCAAGCAATGTGGCCACAGCCTTTTTTCAGTAAGAACTGAACTCTGATCCTGTGGGCAGGCTCAAATCAGGAGCCTGCAAGAGAGCAGTTCTAGAGCCTTAAAAGCCTTTTGATCCTCTGGGGACACAACCAGCTTGTTTGGGCCTGCTGAGTTTCAGTTAAAAGTTTATATAAAAGCCCAGCAAGTTCCCCATAACCCGGAATCCAAATGCAACAATAGCCTGTAACGCCCAAGAATCCTCTCAACTGTCTTAATGTCATAAGCAGAGGATGGTTTAATATAGGCTTAACTCTGGAAAGCAACCTTCAGATCAGTGACTGAAACATATTTGGCTCATTCAGGAACTTCAGACAATCAGGTATAAGGATCAGGCACTTATTATTTGTATATCTTAAATTAGTCTCTATTTATCACTTGATATTTTTACATCCAAAATAGCAGTGTTATATGGACTATTACAGAGAATTAATAGCCCCTGTTCCTTTAAATTTTCAATGATGGGTTTTAACCCTTCCTTAATACCTCAGGCTTTAGTGGATACTGCTTTTGATATGGAAATAAGTGAGGGTCATTGAGCTTGATAACATCCAGAACAGCATTTTGTGCTTGACCCACAGTTTTTCTATCAGCCCACACTTTAGGATTTACATTTTGTTCAGTTAAAAAGAATGGGTTCCATATTTATGAAAACAGAGGCCTGGACGTTGTTCAGCATATCCCTCCCCAGAAGGGGTGAGAGAAACTCCCAACACAATTAAAAACTCAAGAAAATAGCACAAAGTCCCAGTTGCAACTTAAAGGATGACTGACATAATAGCGTTGGCTCGTCCTGACAGCCCCATGACAGTAGTGGGTCATGAGGAAAGCGGACCGGGGGCTTCCGTGAGCACAGAGAAAGTGGCCCCAGGGTCCAAAAGAAAGTCAACTGATTGGCCCCCACAGTTACTAATACCCGGGGTTCCTCAGGTGTAATTAGGAAGGGGGCTTGTGTGGAGACCCCCTGACACCTTCAGTCCCAACTGTCTTGAAAGTGCGACCTCTGGGGCTAAATCTCAGAGGGCAGTCTCTCCTCCAGTGTGGTCCTTTGCAGACCGGATACAGAGCTGGGGGTGGCTCAGATGCCTGAGGGCAATCCCACTTGAGATGCCCCTCCTTCCCACAATAATAACAAGTCCGTCCCTTTTCTCCTGGGTCCCTCTGGGCATTTTTCCTCAAGCTGTTTCAAAGCAGGTCTAACAGCCATTGTTGGAGCTTCTGTCTTTGGCCTGGTTCTTTTTTCTTCCTATTTTCTTCCTCATATTTTCTACCATAATACACGGTCTGAGCCAGCTGCAAGTTTTTTTAAAGACTGATTTGATCCAGACACCTGTTTTTGTAGCTTACAGCAGATAGCTAGAGCTGACTGAGTGAGAAATCTATCTTTTAAGATCATTTCTCCCTCTGTACTTTCAGGATCAACATTAGTTTTCATTCCAATCCCAAAGAAAGGCAATGCCAAAGAGTGTTCAAACTACCACACAGTTGCACTCATCTCACACACTAGTTAAGTAATGCTCAAAATTCTCCAAGCCAGGATTCAACAATAAGTGAACTATGAACTTCTAGATGTTCAAGCTGGTTTTAGAAAAGGCAGAGGAACCAGAAATCAAACTGCCAACATCTGCTGGAGCATCGAAAAAGCAAGAGAGTTCCAGAAAAATATCTATTTCTGCCTTATTGACTATGCCAAAGCCTTTGACTGTGTGGATCACAATAAACTGTGGAAAATTCTGAAAGAGATGGGACTACCAGACCACCTGACCTGCCTCTTGAGAAACCTGTATGCAGGTCAGGAGGCAACAGTTAGAACTGGACATGGAACAACAGCCTGGTTCCAAATAGGAAAAGGAGTACGTCAAGGCTGTATATGGTCACCCTGCTTATTTAACTTATATGCAGAGTACATCATAAGAAACTCTAGGCTGGATGAAGCACAAGCCAGAATCAACATTGCTGGGAGAAATATCAATAACCTCAAATATGCAGATGATACCACCCTTATGGCAGAAAGTGAAGAAGAACTGAAGGGCCTATTGATGAAAGTGAAAGAAGAGAGTGAAAAAGTTGGCTTAAAGTTCAAGATTCAGAAAACTAAGATCATGGCATCTGATCCCAACACTTCATGGCAAATAGTTGGGGAAACAATGGAAATAGTAGCGGACTTTATTTTTCCGGGCTCCAAAATCACTGCAGATGGTGATTGCAGCCATGAAATTAAAAGACACTTGCTCCTTGGAAGGAAAGTTATGACCAACCTAGACAGCATATTAAAAAGCAGAGACATTAATTTGCCAACAAATATTCATCTAGTCAAAGCTATGGTTTTTCCAGTAGTCATGTATGGATGTGAGAGTTGGACTATAAAGAAAGCTGAGCACAGAAGAATTGGTGCTTTTGAACTGTGGTGTTGGAGAAGACTCTTGAGAGTCCCTTGGACTGCAAGGAGATCCAACCAGTCCATCCTAAAGGAGATCAGTCCTAGGTGTTCATTGGAAAGACTAATGTTTAAACTGAAACTCCAATACTTTGGCCACCTGATGGGAAGAACTGACTCATTGGAAAAGACCCTGATGCTGGGAGGGATTGTGGGCAGGAGGAGAAGTGGACGACAGAGGATGAGACGGTTGGGTGGCATCACCGGACTCAACGGACATGAGTTTGAGTAAACTCCGGGAGTTGTTGATGGACAGGGAGGCCTGGTGTGCTGTGATTCATGGGGTCACAAAGAGTCGGACACGACTAAGCGACTGAACTGAACTGAACTGAACTGAAGGGAAGATGGAAAAATTTAGGTAGATGACTTTCTTTTTGAAAATCTCAATGTCAATTTCTACCTTCAGCACAGCTACATTAATAAAAAAAACAAACAAATAAAAACAAAGTTTCACTGACGGTTCCTGGTCTTCAGTAATGTGTGAGGGAGGGTCATCTGGAAGTTGATGCTTCTCATCCACAGGGTACCAGGGATGTGTTTTTGTTAATAGGTGATGATTGTATGAGTCTCTGTAGTACAGTGACTAACACAGAGCAACTTAACAGGAACAATGTACTTATTGATTATTTTCTTTTTTTTTCAAGTGATATCATGTGGACACCCCGGCGTCCCTGCCAACGCCATACTCACAGGAGACCTGTTCACGTATGGGGCCGTGGTCCACTACTCGTGCCGAGGGAGCCGCAGTCTCGTGGGCAACAGCAGCAGAACCTGCCAGGAGGACAGTCACTGGAGCGGAGCCCTGCCCCACTGCACAGGTGAGCTGGCGCGGGCAGGTCGTCCGTCATGCGAAACACGGACTGGGGGCTCCCGTCTCTAAAGTGGTTACTAACCCACTCCAGCCACACACGCCCCTAGATACACCACCGGCATCTTGGGCTTCTTCTTCTCTTTAAATGCCTGTCCCAGCATGGTTTTTCCTGCTGGAGCCCCGGGAGCCTCCCCACCCCTGATCAGGAAGCCTGCTCGCCTCGACTCAGCTTGCTCTCACTTTTCTTTCCTTCTGCTTCCTCTCAGTTGTTTCACATCTTTCCTACCCCCACCATCAACAATCACATCGGTCCTGTTTAGAAAAGAAATCATCTTAATTCTTCCTGGAATGTTTCATAATAAAACTCAGTGGATCACACCTCTTATTTGATTTTTTTATTCCCAACACACCTTCCCCCATCTCCTTGTAGGCATCCTCACCAGCATTTCCAATGAGCAATTCCTGCACTCATTGCCCTAGTGTTTTATTTCTTCCAAAGAATATCAATTATTGTCACTACCATATTTTAATAAACTATTTTGATTTTAGTTACATGGAAACAATTTATTAGAGTCTTCTACTTTTGTGCTGTAATAAAGAAAATCTTTCTCACACGATTTCTAGAATGTTATGACTGTGATCATGTTTGATATACATTTACATAAGGTTTCATTCTCTTTAAACATAACAGCCCTGTTTTAAACAGCATCATCTATTGCCATGTGTTTGTGTTCTGCAGGAAATAACCCTGGTTTTTGCGGTGATCCAGGGACCCCAGCCCATGGGTCTCGACTTGGAGAAGAGTTTAAGGCCAAGAGCCTCCTCCGCTTCTCCTGTGAAATGGGCTACCAGCTGCGGGGCTCAGCCGAGCGGACGTGTCTGCTCAACGGGTCCTGGTCAGGACTGCAGCCCGTGTGCGAGGGTGAGTGGGTCCCAGGCTGAGAGTTGGCGCTGCAGGTGGAAACCGGGTAGCTCTCTCTGAAATGACCAAAGATGTTCCGCAAAATCCTTCAGCTTTACACTTTTTTACGTTTCTACAGTTAACTAATCTATCCCCACTCCCAAGTGTATTAGAGAATCATCAGGAAGCATGATTGGGCAAATGGAGGCACTCTGACTGATCAAAAGAAGGTAGAACAACGGCCTTGCCCTCTGACAGTCCCCGGTCTGGGGGAGCTGTCTGTCTGTCTGCTCCTGGTGACATCTCCGAGTTGCTCTGCAGTGTGTCCTGGTCTAGGGAGGCGTCTGTCCTCGCCTGGTGACCGTCTCTGTGTGGCTGTCAGTATGTTATGGCTGGTGGGGCTGAGAACGCAGGTGAAGGGGCTGTGAGCGGGGCAGGTCCTGACGGGGGCTCCCTGCTGCTGGAAGTCATTCCGCTCACACATTATTTCATCTATTGGTGGCCCTTGTCTTAGTTTCTTGCAAACTTAAACAGTGAAAAAAGTAAAGCAGTTGAGTGTAAGTCATGTTTTCCATAGAAATCTCAGTCTGTGGCTGGGGTACTACACTATGAGTTCTTTCCCAACAAAATATAAGTGAATTCACTTATTTGATTAGGAGAGCTTAACTAAATTTTACTTCATGATGTACTTATCCCAGACTATGCAAAGTGCTTATTAAATAGCATTTAGTTTAGGAAAATGTTATCACTGACTCACTGGACATGAGTTTGAACAAAGAGTTCAAACTTCCTTCAAGAGTTAGTGAAGGACAGGGAAGCCTGGCATACTGCAGTCCATGGGGTCACAAGGATACGACTTAGCTACTGAATAACAGTTTAGCAAAAGTCAGAAATTCAAACGGTTCCTATAAAATCCTTTTAAACTTTTTGCTTAAAATCTATATATAAAAAGAAGTTACTAAAATGTTTCAATACTAAAAATATTTATCAAAAATGCAGTGGTCCACAAAATTGGCTACTTCCAAATTGTACTGTACAGAAATCATTGGAAGTCAAGTGAGTGATAGTTCAGTTACACTCAGGAACACCACAAATGATGTCTCAGAATAAATGACTAACCCCCTTCCTGCTTCCACGTACACATTTCACAACTCTTAAAGCTGTGGAGAATCTATTGCTTTCTGTTTTTTCTTACTTGCTGACACAGGTCCACATCTTTGGGGCACATATTATTTTCTGTAGAAAGTGGGATTATCAGCAACTTTTCCATTGCCACAAAGGTTATCCATGACCTATGTACTCAATCCCTTGACTAAGGTCATGCCCCTTTTGATGGATTTACCTTCTCTGAATTTATTTTAAAAAACATTAGATCTTGATGGACATTTCAATAAATTTTAAAAAGAGGTTCATGAATTGAAAAATAAAAACATCTGAAAAATTCTTAAGCATCAAAGAACGTAACTTTCTAATACATTTTCACCACTTTAAATCATGTTTTCTTTTGTTAAGATCTAGTCTTTGAATCAAAGACTCACTGATGTAGCTTTCCAAATGGATATATCTTACCAAGATGTGTAAATATAACTACATCTTTGGGGTAACTCCTAATTCTCTTTCCCAGGAGCTTATGATAAAGTTGTCATTTATTGAGGTAATGGACATGTGATTAAAGTGATGATAATGAAAATAAAAATACCAGTATGATTGCCGCTATACAAGATGGTGGCAGTTTGCACGTAGTATGGCCTCCCAGGTGGCTAAGTGGTTACGAATCCGCCTGCCAGTGCTGAAGACGCAGGAGACACGGGTTCAGTCCCTGGGTTGGGAAGATCCCCTGGAGGAGGAAATAGCAACCCGGTCTTGTATTCTTGCCTGGAGAATCCCATGGACACAGGAGCCTGGTGGGCTACAGTCCATGGGGTTATACAGTCGGACATGACTGAGCACTCATGCACACATGTACTCTTACAATGGGAAGCAATTATCTTTTTCATCCATTTCACAGTGAAGGCACTCCATGTTGATAACTTGAATTGATCACTCACATTGAATTAACTTGTATGAACAGAGATTAAAACCTACAACTATTTAACTCGGTTCAACAGCAGTCATACTAATACAGCATGCCGCTGCTGCTGCTAAGTCACTTCAGTTGTGTCTGACTCTGTGCAACCCCATAGGCAGAAGCCCATGAGGCTGCCCTGTCCCTGGGATCCTCCAGGCAAGAACAATGGAGTGGATTGCCATTTCCTTCTCCAATGCATGAAAGTGAAAAATGAAAGTGAAGTCACTCAGTCAGGTCTGACTCTCAGCAACCCCATGGACTACAGCCTACCAGGCTCTTCCATCCATGGGATTTTCCAGGCAAGAGTACTGGAGTGGGGTGCCATTGCCTTCTCCGAATACAGCATGCTAAGTGAGCAATATTGACACCGGTGAGCAATAATGTGCATTTGGAATGAGTATGGTACTATTTTCTTACAAACTGAGTAAAAAACAATGATATTTTATGAAAATGAGGCACATTAAATACATATACTTTAAAAAAGATGTATTTATTTTCCATTTATTTTTATTAGTTGGAGGCTAATTACTTTACATTATTGTAGTGGTTTTTGCCATACAATGACATGAATCAGCCATGGATTTACATGTATTCCCCATCCCGATCCCCCCTCCCGCCTCCCTCCCCACCCCATCCCTCTGGGTCTTCCCAGTGCACCAGCCCCGAGCACTTGTCTCATGCATACAACCTGGGCTGGTGATCTGTTTCACCCTTGATAATACAATATACATGTTTCGATGCTGTTCTCTCAAAACATCCCACCCTTGCCTTCTCCCACAGAGTCCAAAAGTCTGTTCTGTACATCTGTGTCTCTTTCTGCTTTGCATATAGGGTTATCGTTACCACCTTTCTAAATTCCATATATATGCATTAGTATACTGTATTGCTCTTTATCTTTCTGGCTTACTTCACTCTGTATAATGGACTCCCATCTCATTAGAACTAATTCAAATGAATTCTTTTTAATGGCTGAGCAATATTCCATGGTGTATATGTACCACAACTTCCTTATCCATTTGCCTGCTGATGGGCATCTAGGTTGCTTCCATGTCCTGGCTATGATAAACAGTGCTGCGATGAACATTGGGGTGCACGTGTCTCTTTCAGATCTGGTTTCCTCAGTGTGTGTGCCCAGAAGTGGGATTGCTGGGTCATATGGCAGTTCTATTTCCAGTTTTTTAAGAAATCTCCACACTGTTTTCCATAGTGGCTGTACTAGTTTGATTCCCACCAACAGTGTAAGAGCATTCCCTTTTCTCCACACCCTCTCCAGCATCTATTGCTTGTAGACTTTTGGATAGCAGCCATCCTGACTGGCATGTATTGGTACCTCATTGTGGTTTTGATTTGCATTTCTCTGATAATGAGTGATGTTGAGCATCTTTTCATGTGTTTGTTAGCCATCTGTATGTCTTCTTTGGAGAAATGTCTGTTTAGTTCTTTGGCCCATTTTTTGATTGGGTCATTTATTTTTCTGGAATTGAGCTGTAGGAGTTGCTTGTTTATTTTTGAGATTAATCCTTTGTCTGTTGCTTCATTTGCTGTTATTTTCTCCCATTCTGAAGGCTGTCTTTTCACCTTGCTTATAGTTTTCTTTGTTGTACAAAAGCTTTTAAGTTTAATTAGTTTCCGTTTATTTTTGCTTTTATTTCCAATATTCTGGGAGGTGGGTCATAGAGAATCCTGCTGTGATTTATGTCGGAGAGTATTTTGCCTATGTTCTCCTCTAGGAGTTTTATAGTTTCTGGTCTTACATTTAGATCTTTAATCCATTTTGAGTTTATTTTTGTATATGGTGTTAGAAGGTGTTCTAGTTTCATTCTTTTACAATTGGTTGACCAGTTTTCCCAGCACCACTTGTTTGAAAGAATAAACAAAATTGACAAACCATTAGTAAGACTCATTAAGAAACAAAGGGAGAAGAACCAAATTAACAAAATTAGAAATGAAGATGGAGAGATCACAACAGACAACACTGAAATACAAAGGATTATAAGAGACTACTACCAGCAGCTCTATGCCAATAAAATGGACAACTTGGAAGAAATGGATAAATTCTTAGAAAAGTATAACTTTCCAAAACTGAACCAGGAAGAAATAGAAGATCTTAACAGACCCATCACAAGCACAGAAATAGAAACTGTAATCAGAAGTCTTCCAGCAAACAAAAGCCCAGGACCAGATGGCTTCACAGCTGAATTCTACCAAAAATTTAGAGAAGAGCTAACACCTATCTTACTCAAACTTTTCCAGAAAATTGCAGAAGAAGGAAAACTTCCAAACTCATTCTACGAGGCCACCATCACCCTAATTCCAAAACCAGACAAAGATGCCACAAAAAAAGAAAACTACAGGCCAATACCACTGATGAACATAGATGCAAAAATCCTTAACAAAATTCTAGCAAACAGAATCCAACAACAATATTAAAAAAATCATACATCATGACCAAGTGGGCTTTATCCCAGGAATGCAAGGATTCTTTAATATCTGCAAATCGATCAATATAATGCACCACATTAACAAATTGAAAGATAAAAACCATATGATTATCTCAATAGATGCAGAAAAAGCCTTTGACAAAATTCAACATCCATTTATGATTAAAACTCTCCAGAAAGCAGGACTAGAAGGAAAATACCTTAACATAATAAAAGCTATATATGACAAACCCACAGCAAGCATTACACTCAGTGGTGAAAAATTGAAAGCATTTCCCTTAAAATCAGGAACAAGACAAGGGTGCCCACTCTCACCACTGCTATTCAACATAGTTTTGGAAGTTTTGGCCACAGCAATCAGAGCAAAAATGGAAGTAAAAGGAATCCAGACAGGAAAAGAAGTAAAACTCTCACTGTTTGCAGATGACATGATCCTCTATATAGAAAACCCTAAAGACTCTACCAGAAAATTACTAGATCTAATCAATGAATACAGTAAAGTTTCAGGATATACAGTAACCATGAGAAAACAGAAAGAGAAATTAAGGAAACAATACCATTTACCATTGCAACAAAAAGAATAAAATACTTAGGAGTATATCTACCTAAAGAAACAAAATTCCTATACATAGAAAACTATAAAACACTGATGAAAGAAATCAAAGAGGACACAAACAAATGGAGAAATATACCATATTCATGGACTGGAAGAATCAATATTGTCAAAATGACTATATTACCCAAAGCAATCTATAGATTCAGTGCAATCCCTATCAAGCTACCAATGGTATTCTTCACAGAACTAGGACAAATAATTTCACAATTTATATAGAAATACAAAAAATCTCGAATAGCCAAAGCAATCTTGAGAAAGAAGAATGGAACTGGAGGAATCAACCTGCCTGACTTCAGACTATACTACAAAGCCACAGTCATCAAGACAGTATGGTACTGGCACAAAGACAGAAATATAGATCAATGGAACAGAATAGAAAGCCCAGAGATAAATCCACGTACCTATGGACACCTTATCTTCAACAAAGCTGGCAAGGATATACAATGGGGAAAAAAAGATGTATTTATAAAGAAATTTTAACTTGTAACTTTCCAAATATCTCATTTTCCCTCTAACAACCCTAAATTTAGTCTCTTGTTTTGCCCAAGTGTCAGTCTTTTCATGTCTCACAACATCAGGACCTTGTTTTAAAAACAGGTATGTTGACCCTGTTTTCTGATCTCCACATTCATAGGCATGATCATCAGTGAAAGCGTCCCTGTCAGGGGGGGAAAAAAAAAGTTAAACATGAACTTGATAGTATCAAATTCAATATTAGAAGGGACTTTATAAACATTAGGGTGTCATTATTATGAGGGACATCCCTTTATGAACAATATATTTGTCTATATATTAAGTTGAATATATTTCAACAGTCACCTGCTTTATTTTAGGATTAGTGTCTCACAGGTCACTTTTGAAAATTGCTACATATTTTTGAGATGAATCCTTTGTCTGTTGCTTCGTTTGCTATTATTTTCTTCCAATCTGAGGGCTATCTTTTCACCTTGATTATAGTTTCCTTTGTTGTGCAAAAGCTTTTAAGTTTAATTAGGTCCCATTTGTTTATTTTTGCTTTTATTTCCAATATTCTGGGAGGTGGGTCATAGAGGATCCTGCTGTGATTTATGTCGGAGAGTGTTTTGCCTCTGTTCTCCTCTACGAGTTTTATAGTTTCTGGTCTTACATTTAGATCTTTAATCCATTCTGAGTTTATTTTTGTGTATGGTGTTAGATAGTGTTCTAGTTTCATTATTTTACAAGTGGTTGACCAGTTTTCCCAGCACCACTTGTTAAAGAGGTTGTCTTTTTTCCATTGTATATTCTTGCCTCCTTTGTCAAAGATAAGGTGTCTGTAGGTATGTGGATTTATCTCTGGGCTTTCTATTCTGTTCCATTGATCTATATTTCTGTCTTTGTGCCAGTGCCATACTGTCTTGATGACTGTGGCTTTGTAGTATAGTATGAAGTTAGGCAGGTTGATTCCTCCAGTTCCATTCTTCTTTCTCAGGATTACTTTGGCTATTCGAGGTTTTTTGTATTTCCATACAAATTGTGAAATTATTTGTTCTAGTTCTGTGAAGAATACCGTTGGTAGCTTGATAGGGATTGCACTGAATCTATAGATTGCTTTGGCTAGTATAGTCATTTTGACAATATTGATTCTTCCAGTCCATGAATATGGTATATTTCTCCATTTGTTTGTGTCCTCTTTGATTTCTTTCATCAGTGTTTTATAGTTTTCTATGTATAGGTCTGCCATATGACCCAGCAATCCCACTTCTGGGCACACACACTGAGGAAACCAGTCTGAAAGTGACACATGCACCCCAATGTTCATCGCAGCACTGTTTATCATAGCCAGGACATGGAAGCAACCTAGATGCCCATCAGCAGGCAAATGGATAAGGAAGTTGTGGTACATATACACCATGGAATATTACTCAGCCATTAAAAAGAATTCATTTGAATCAGTTCTAATGAGATGGATGAAACTGGAGTCCATTATACAGAGTGAAGTAAGCCAGAAAGATAAAGAGCAATACAGTATACTAATGCATATATATGGAATTTAGAAAGGTGGTAACGATAACCCTAAATGCAAAGCAGAAAGAGACACAGATGTACAGAACAGACTTTTGGACTCTGTGGGAGAAAGCAAGGGTGGGATGTTTTGAGAGAACAGCATCGAAACATGTATATTGTATTATCAAGGGTGAAACAGATCACCAGCCCAGGTTGTATGCATGAGACAAGTGCTCGGGGCTGGTGCACTGGGAAGACCCAGAGGGATGGGGTGGGGAGGGGGGATCGGGATGGGGAATACATGTAAATCCATGGCTGATTCATGTCATTGTATGGCAAAAACCACTACAATAATGTAAAGTAATTAGCCTCCAACTAATAAAAGTAAATGGAAAAAAATACAAAAAAAGAAAAAAGAGAAATCACGATGGTGGTCACCTGGGGGAAGAAGGGGGAGTGTGGTTCAGAAGAGGAGTGTGAAGCGTTCTAGGATGCTGTCCCTGTACTGTTTATTGGACCAAATGCTAGTTACCCAAGTGTATTCAACTGGTGACAATAAAAAAAAAAAGTTGCTACATAGTTTTTAATAGCAGATATGACTGGAATAAAACATAGTGACATGGGTGTCTTTTGTTACAAGTTGGATCAATATAATTCTTTGCTGTTTCAGTTCATACTCATAAACAATAACTGTGCAAAGGAAGCAATGAATCCATTTGTGCAATGGAGTAATGGTCTTGAGTAGTCCAACAGCTTGGATTTTTGCAATGAAATTTTAATTTACGTCACAACCATCAAAGGACTCTGAGCTTTAGAGAGTGTTAGGCGTCGTCTGCCTCAAGATTGGTAAACATATCTCATCTCAAATGTCAACCAATAAACCACTGAACAGTCTGTGTTAGAAGGGATTGTAACCCAGACTTATCAGTGAAGAGGATTATAACTGGTTAGTTTATATCTGACGTAGATAAATGGTGTTAGTTGCTCAGTTGTGTTTAACTATTTGTGACCCTATGGGCCATAGCCCACCAGGCTCCTCTGTTCATGGAATTCTCCAGGCAAGAATACTAGAGTGGGTAGCCATTCTCTTCTCCAGAGGATCTTCCCAACCCAGGGATCAAACCTGCGTCTCCTGCATAGCAGGCGGCTTCTTTACCATCTGAGCAACCAGGGAAGCATAGGTACAAATGTAAAAGCACCAGCAAGTATACTCTTTATTTGTCAAACAAGATCTAGTCCAAATCAGATCTGAGAGTATGTGAATTTTTTAACATAAAATGATAGGGAATTCCATAAACTTCTATTATAGTGGATTTTATTTTGCAATGTGTTTTCTTCCATATTTTAAAAGAGAGTGTGTCTTTGTTCACAGGCTAGAGTTGAAAGTGAAACAGCTAAATAGGCCAGAATATTTGCAAATATTTTCATTATTCTGAGAAAAGGGACTCATGATACATTCTTCTTATTAGAATTCACACCCTTTGTATGTCTGTATGTTGTGCATTATTGTGGGAGGATTAAGAAGGAAAAATAACCATCTTTATGGTAAATACGTTCAATGAAAAAAAGGCAGAATCCTATAATGGGTTGAGATCACATTGATACACACCCAGCAGCTGCTGAGTTTCCTTGTTTGCTGAGGAAGGAACGTACCTGATAGATACTCAGAGTGTAGACCTGTCACACTGCCCATCTTAGCTGAAGTCTTCATGCCTATACACAGCATTGTGGTCATTTAAAGAGATTTAAGGTGTGGCCATTCCAAAGCCAGTCGAGGTCTAGAACTTTTATGGGCTTCCCAATGGTTCAGTGGTAAAGAACCCATCTGCAATGCATAAGATGGAAGAGACTCAGGCTCTATCCTTGGGTGGAGAAGATCCCCTGGAGTAGTGAATAGCAATCCACTACAGTATTTTTGCCTGGAAAGTCCCATGGACAGAGACAGCCTGGCAGGCTACAGTCCATGGGCTTGCAAAGAGTCAGACACAACTGAGCACAAGCACAGAGCTTTTATAGACAGGAGGAGGGCGCTACATGCAGAAACAGCACAGACAGCTCTGACGGTCATCTTCAGGTTGGTCGTCGGTGGTCTGACCAGCGTCATTTGGCTCTTTGAGTGCAGTCAGGCTTCAGTTCCAGGACTGGTTTGCCCCCATTTCCTCGAGGCCAGTCCTGAGACTTGTGGCAGCCTGTGTCACGGCTACAGTCCGCTCATCATGGAGTTAACTTCTCCACCTGGCCGGGGTCTCCATTTCTGCCCAAGAGCTCATAGGACACGGCTCACAGTTTTATCTTCAGCCCTGGAGGAGGAACTGTTAAAGGCCCTGACTTGTGACTAAACTATTTTTATTTTGTCTTGTTGGACTGCTTTCTTTGGTTCTGCATTTTCTCACTTCTCTGATTAAATTCATTGTTTGGCTACAGTTTTTCTACAGATGAAAGGCAGGCAGAGGATGTGCGGGTAGGGGAGGACCACAGTGTCCTTCCCATGATTTCTTAAATAAATGTGCAGTCCCTTATGCAGACGGCCCTTGACCTCTCAGGTTTATCACGTGGTGACGGGTCTCCCGCTGCTGTTCTGTCTCCCCACAGCTGTGTCCTGTGGGAACCCGGGGACGCCCGCCCATGGCAGGATCGTCAGCAGCGACGGCGTGCTGTTCTCCAGCTCCGTGGTCTACGCGTGCTGGGATGGCTACAGGACCTCAGGGCTGACCACGCGCCACTGCACCGCCAACGGGACCTGGACCGGCACGGCCCCTGACTGCACGCGTGAGTGGCCGCCGGCCTGGCCAAGTCCAGGTCCCCACAGCGACTCACACTGGACTGGGAGAAGGAGCTGATTTTACAGAGTGCTGTATTGTTTAATCCCTAGGGAAAAAGGGATTATATCACATGTATGTTTGCTAATAGGACCACTTTCTAAGCACTTCTAGATTTTTCTTCACTTTCTTATTTATATGGTTAAAAATGCTTTGCCTGACTGGTTGGGTTGGATATTATAAAACTGAGTTCAGAAAAGGCAAAGTTCATTCTCTCTGTAGACCAGTTAGTCTGAAGGGAAATGATGCAGGAGCCTGGTTCTCTCTGATCTCAGCCTGTGTCTCTGTCCTTGACTTTGTGGGGTGACCCCTCACGACATCTAGTTAAGGACAGAACGCAGATGACAGCTGTCATCCACAAAGCCGACCACCAGTGGAGTAGAAATAAGCTGTTCCAAACATGCAGCCTCCTGACGGACAGCCAGGGAAACTGCCCCCCAGAGAGAGGCTGGCATCGCTGTGCTCAGCCACAGCGTCATCGCTCTGAAGAGCAGCTTAAGGAGAGTCCCTTAAACAGAAACCAGGAGTCATTCATCCCGTGATGATGCTATATCTCTCTGTGTCTGTTCTCTGCTGGTTAGTCATCAGCTGTGGAGACCCAGGGACCCTGGCTAACGGCATCCAATTCGGGACCGATTTCACCTTCAACAAGACGGTCAGCTACCAGTGTAACCCCGGCTACACCATGGAGCCCGCCACGTCCCCCACCATCCGCTGCACCAAGGACAGTGCCTGGAATCACAGCAAACCAACCTGCAAAGGCGAGTGTTGGGGCTTCTCTTGTGCATCACTCACACGTGGAGACTCTTCATTGAGTTAACGTTTTACATCAGTTTGCAAGCATCCGTGTAGACCTTCTATGTGCTCAGCATTCCTGTAAACTCATTCGCAAATATTAAATCACTTCCTTTTCTTACTACCTTAATCTTGGTTTTACAGCCCGGAGACTGACTCACAGAGAGTTGTGATAAATTCTCGGGTCTCAGGTCAGGTCTTGGAGACATCGGGCTTCAGGGACGACTCTGGAGTCGGTGCTGTGGACCCAGTTCTGTCTCCATGTGCGTGGCTGTGTTGAGTCTGTGGCCGTCATCATGGGGCTGGAGAGGCGGGTCAGAGCTGATCATCAGATAGGGCAGAACAGTGGCAGAGACCGCCAGTGTCCTGATGCCTGGTGGGGCTCGGGCGCTGAGACTAAGGAAGCCACATCACGAGGGGGGGTACAGGAAGGTTCCCCACTTGGCCGGTGGACTTTCCAGGGAGAGAGTGAGCAGGCAGAAGGCGTCTAGGGGAGCAGAGGGGCTGGCGGACCACTGATCCAGGGCTGATCTGCAGGGTGAGCGTCTCCACCAGCTCCAGATCGAGCTGCAGGCCTTCTCAGCTGGGCAGGAGGGGCAGGGGCAGGAGAGGGCGTGGAGGCTGGCAGTGACCACACAGGAGAAAGGGGCGCCTTATCGTCGTTAGATGAGGGAGGGGGAAGAGCTGGGAGCTGGAGTAGCAGGAACCCTCAGGAGGAAGGTGCGTCCTGTGTGGACAGTCTTGTGAGGTCAGAGGAGACCCCACCCCGAGGGCCCTGTTACGCCCTTCCGGCCTGGGCGGTTTGGGCGCATCCTGGTTTCCTCCCATCAGAGGGTGAGGAGCCCTGTCTCGTGTCCGTCTTCCCAGCTGCAGTTATTAGCACCGTGTAGCTCTGTGGCAGGTGCTAAGAGGGTGTTAAATGCAGCTCACACAGTCCTGTCGGGAGCATTCGAGTCCAGTGAGCGTGTCCACGTGCTAATCCCTAGAATGTCTGATCTCTGGACTTCAGATACATTTGTGTAGATCTTGTCCCTCTGTTTAGTGTCTGTTGGATTAACAGCCCTTCCACAGACAACCCGGCCCTCACGGATGAGACCTGTCTCTTCTCCTGCTGGCCACCCTGCTCACTCCTCCCTGGAGCCACGTCACTCATCACCATTCCCACCTGGGGGCCTTGAACCCGACGTTGACCTGTCTAGACTGTTCCCCCAGTCTTCGCTAGGGGTTCTGCAGAAATCTCTGTTGAATGAGTGCACAGATGGAGGGAAGGTGGATGGCAAGAGGAGGGCCCGTGTCCAGCTTATGGGCGTGCACGCGCGGTTGGGTCTGTGTCTTTCTCACGTGAGAAGGTGTGAGCACCTGTGAGAAAGTGCAGGGGAGGAAATACGGCTGAGTCTCCTCTCCCGCCACCTTCCTTGCCCACTGTCAGCGGCAAACCTCCTCCAGTGTGAAGTCTCGGAGCTCTTGGATCTTCAGGGAGCTCTTAGACCAGGAGTCGCAGAACAGTGGCTGGAGTGCGCCAGGCAGACGCCAGCACCAGCGGGCACTCACTCCTGGGAAGACGGTTCTCCCTCGAAGCCCGTGGATGAGACAGAGCCCTGGCAAAGCGGTTTCTTACAGGGTCTTCTCTAACCACGCAAGTGTTAGTGCTCAATTCTGCAGCAAGTGCATCAGCAGCCTATGTCTTTTGGAAACTATATGCTATCTTTATATAAAGACTCTGGAGAAGGAAATGGCAATCCACTCCAGTACTCTTGCCTGGAAAATCCCATGGATGGAGGAGCCTGGTAGGCTGCAGTCCATGGGGTCGCAAAGAGTTGGACACGACTGAGTGACTTCACTTTCACTTTCATGACTTTCACTTCTTTCTTTTATATAAAGAAAAAAGTACAGATAAAGAAATTCTTGCCATCTGTTTATATAAATTCAAATGTTTGTACTCATGTCATAGGACCATGCTTCTGACTGAATTTGCCTCTGGTAACCATCGTAAGAAGACATCAGTGGAGCAAAGTCTTTCTTTCTTGTCTTATAGACTGAGACTGTCTTATTTACTCCACCTTCTTTTATGGTGGCATATGCTTTGACTTTGCTTTGCTTTTATGGACTTGATCTAAATTAATGAGGAAATGTTAGAGAAAAGTTTTATTATTTTGATTTGCTATCTTCTTCAGCAACTTGTCTATTAAAAAATTCAGCCCCTTGTAGATGTGTTTTGCAACATGGGTGAAATTAAATTGTGAGGCCTTGGAGAGCTGTGTTGTGGTAGAAACTCCAGAATGTTGAATCCTGTTTACTCTCTGACAGCCATCACATGCGGCCAGCCTCCTCCGGTCCAGGATGGGAAGGTGGAAGGAACGGACTTCCGCTGGGGCGCCAGCATCAGCTACAGCTGCACCCACGGCTTCCAGCTCTCCCAGCCTGCCATCCTCTCCTGTGAAGGCCGAGGGGTCTGGAGAGGCGAGGTCCCCCAGTGCCTGCGTAAGTCCTCAGGAGCACAAACCACAGCACACAAACCTCAGGCTGCAGTCTGAGCAGGAGAGCCTGCGGGACTTGTAGCCAAGGTGCAAAAGGTTAAAGACGCCACGTTTGACACACGCTGCCCAAGGGCAGATTCTGTCCTTTTCTTCATCTTTGATTCCTAAGGATTTAATGAGTGTATGTGCTTTGTGACCCATTGGACTATACCCCTCTAAGATCCTCTGTCCATGGGCTTCTCCAGACAGGAAGACTGGAATGGGTTGCCATTTCCTTCTCCGGGGGATCTTCCCTACCCAGGGATCGAACGTGCGTCTCCTGCATATCAGGCTGATTCTTTTTTTTTTTTTTTTTGCTTTTAATAAAACAGCCTTCTTTTATCTTTATTTTTTTATCTCAATCTACAATATATTGATAATTACAGAATTGTGATTCAAGCCTTATCTCTCACAAATACAAGTACCTTTTAACTTACATATGGCATTGTCAGTTTTGTTTGCATTTTTATTTATTTATTTTTTTATTATTTTTTTTCATTTATTTTTATTAGTTGGAGGCTAATTACTTCACAACATTGCAGTGAGTTTTGTCATACATTGACATGAATCAGGCTGATTCTTTGCCCACTGGGCCTCCCAGGGTTAATGGGAGGACTTAATGGAAAGCAGTTAGACAAGCTGAATAGACGAACCTCGCCCAGGGGCACAGGCTGTGCACTGACCTCCTGGTTGTCTTCTCTAGCTGTGTTCTGTGGGGACCCCGGCACCCCTGCTGAGGGGCGCCTCAGCGGCAAGAGCTTCACCTACGGATCTGAAGTCTTCTTCCAGTGCAAGTCCCCCTTCCTCCTGGTGGGGTCGTCCCGGAGAGTCTGCCAGGCAGACGGCACCTGGAGTGGCGTCCAGCCCACCTGCATTGGTAATGATGGCAAGACAGCCCTGGGGGTGGGGAGGGGGCGTTTCATTCTAAAGCTGGAGCATTTGTGGGCACACAGGTGATGCTCTCCTGGGAGATGTTCTGTGCAGGTGCTGAGCAGCCATGCTGATGGCAGCCCTTTAAATCCTGCAGGGAGTTTGGAGTTGACATGACAAGTCATTTAAAAACAGCTCCTAGACTCTCTTACCCCGGCAGCCCCCTCTCTGCCCAGGTCAGCTGACAACCGCGATCTTCAGGGGAAGGACCAGTTTGCTGAAGATCCCATTGTTGCCGTGGCACCAGAAGGGCCCCCACTTCAGTGCCTGACACCCTCTCCCCCAGCCCACCCCCGCCCCCAGTAAACCACCTGCTCTATCAGCCACGGCTGAAAGGGCTACAGGGTCACGCCTGCTCTGTTGACCTTCCAACATGAAGTGAAACTTACAAGTTAAAAGAGATTCTCTACGTGACCTAAACCCCTCCTTTTTAGACTAGATCTCTGTCTCATAGGAAGGGTTCAGGTAGAAATTATGCTGGTCGACAGTCACTGCGTCAGTGACACAGGAACCAGAACCCTCCCTGCTTCACTCCCAGCCTCCCTCCACCTCGCCCTGCAGACTGAGCGAGTGATGGCCGGCCGCTGCGTGCCCTGCTTCCCCGAGCGTGAGAGGGCCTTCTGCACACACGCAGCAAGCAGGGAATGACTTCTATCCCTGGTTGTTTTCTGAGAAAGTAAATATCTACTTAAAAATACAGTGTCAACAATGATTTCTTTGGAACACAGCTTTTTGTAATTAAAGTTTACTGCCATTGGGCTAAAACTATTGCTTTACTTTAGCTATTTCTGGAAAACTAAAAAAATATATATATATTTTTTCTTCCCTCCAATAGGTTAGTTTCTCCTGAAAACACTTTTTTGAAGTTATCCATTTTGTTTTCCCATCAGCAGCTGGAGAGCTGACATACTGAAGCCACTCACTGATTGCTGAAGTAGTACAATTTTTTAGAAAAATATCACTGTTGATCTACCATATGCTTTTATTTTGAAGCATTAAGTATATTCCACATTTTGAAACCTTAGGAAAATTAGTTTAAGATGTTTATAGTAATGTAATAGATGACCAAATGAGATCGTGATTAATTAAATCAACAAACAATAAAAGGTCATAATAGGTAATTATTAAAGACTATATATATCATTAACTAACCAATACAGTATGTCAGTAGAGAAAACCTAAACCAGAGAATGGAAAAGAATGTGTTTCTTCTGACATAGAAAATAATATTCAGGGCAATTTAGAGTCTGATAAAACACTAAAGATTAACATCTAAAGAAGTCAGAAAAAAGATGAAAATAGCTATTTAATTTTTAATTTTTAATTTTCTTGCAGAACATCTTGCTCACTTGTCAAAACACAATTTTCTGAATTTTGTAAGGCCTTTTAGTAAAAATATTAGAATTCCTGTAATAACCATATCTGGCTCTCTTTGATTTTTTTTTTAATAATTGTGAATTTCAGATCCTGCTCATAACACCTGCCCAGACCCTGGTACTCCACAGTTTGGAATACAGAATAGCTCAAGAGGATATGAGGTATTTCATTTTTATTTTGCTATGTTTTTCTCTATCTTAAAATGTAATTGATATTTAAATATACATGTGTCTATGTACATATCTGACTCATGTTACATTTGCCCAAATATAGTCCATTCAGAGAGGATTTCTGCTTATTATGTTAACTGTTAGAACTGAGACAACTGTATCTTATTCACACAATTAATTGCTATATAAATTTCTATTTGAAAGCATGTATATTTCTTTCTGTCTGCTTAATTGGCACAGAAAATCTCAAATGAGGGTGATTTGCCACTGATTCACATAAGAGGACTCCACTTGGTGACCAGATAGAACAGGTGAATAACATTAAATCCCAGAGACAAAAACAGAAGAAGAAAATGCCTTCAAAGTACATTAACACTTATGTTAACACAAATATCAGAGAAACACCTAAAAATGGAAAGTAAAGAAGCTTGAAATAAAATGTTTCAACAACCATCTTAAGTAATTGAATGACTTCAGGTTCTCTGATCAGATAGCTTTGAAAGCCAGAGCTAAACATACACACGACTTTCAAGTTAACCGTTCCCATTCATTGAGAATAAAAGTCCCTTTTCTTCAGCTGCTTCTCCTCCTTTTTCCTGAAGTGCAAACTGTCCTCATTTGATTGCCCTGATGCCACACTGGCTCCTTCCTGACAGCCTTGCTTCACTCTGCAAGGACAGCCTCACAGGTCCCCGGGTTAAATCTAGTGCACTTTATGTAGGGTCTCATGTGTGGCCTTACAGCTTCAGGTCACATTTTCTGGCTTATGCTGAACATATTACAACACCAAAAAATACGAGATGTGGGCGTTCTCACTAACTCACCATGAGAAACCCAAGTTGTGGTCACCCCTGGCTTCAGTGATCCCTACTTGCCTGCATGTGGCCTGTAGGAAGTGAACCTTCATGACGATTGCTTTCAGTGATGCAGTCCTGTGATCTGCTGTGAGAAGCTAACTGGGAGGGGTGGCCCACCATTCCCCTTATGACAGAGTAATTACACTACCCCAGTTAACAGGCTGGACCCAAGGCAAGATTTACTAATCATTTAAAAACCCAGATGCCATCTTTTAAAGAGATGACTGAGACCATCAGAAGAATAGTTCTGGAGGATTCTATGACGGAGTCCTTATCAGTCTCCAAGCCAGTTCCTGCAAGTGCTAAAGTAACTTGCTAACAAGCACTAATTGCTTAGAATAGGACTTGTTGTTTAGTCTCAAAGTCATGTCTGACTCTTTTGTAACCCTACGGATTGTAGCCCGCCAGGCTTCTCTGTCCAGGGGGATTCTCCAGGCAAGAATACTGGAGTGGGTTGCCATTTCCTCCTAGAGGGGATTTTCCAAGCCCAGGGATCAAACCCAGGTCTCCTGCATTGGCAGGTGGACTTTTAATTGCCAAGCCACCTGGGAAGCCCAGAATAGGACTAGCAGAGGGGAAGAAAAAACCAGAAAAGGAAAGGAAAATTATCACAAACTAAAGAGGGATAAGGCTAAAACTAAAGAGAAAAGCTATACTTTTGTTACCCAAATAAACTGCTTCTAAATAATCATGGGTCACCGTATCTAAGACCTCACACAATCCATTGAACAACCTGTACTGTGTCTAACACAGCCAAGTAGGAGACGTGGGTTTGATCCCTGAGTTGGAAAAATCCCCTGGGGAAGAAAATGGCAGCTTAATCCAGTATTCTTGTCTGAGAAATACCTTGGACAGAGGAGCCTGGCGGGCTACAGTCCATGGGGTCACAAAACAGTTGGACACAATTGAGCAACTACACAACAAGAACAACTGTGTCTGACACTTTAACCCACATTTTACATGTACACATTGTTTCACACCTGACCCTGGAGCGTGCTTTCTAGCGCAAGTGTGTCCACGGCACCTCTGTGCTTGGCTTTCTCCTCCAGGTTGGAAGCATGGTGTTTTTCCGGTGCCGAAAAGGTTACCACGTTCAAGGCTCTACAACTCGAACTTGCCTGGCGAACCTGACGTGGAGTGGCATCCAGACAGAGTGCATCCGTAAGTGTGACCCTGTGCAAGGGCAGGGCCTGTCTGCTCTCCAGCAGCTGGAAGAATTCACCTTCCTGAGAAACAATGAGGGGCTTATTTTTGTTTGTCTCTTTCCATTACCTAAACTCATTTCTCAGAGTCTGATTCCCTAGAACCAGCAGCAGCAGCAGCACCTGGAATTTGGCTGAAGTTCGAATCTTGAATCCCATCCTGCACATACCTGCAGTATCTGAGGCTCTGGGGGCCAGGGGCGGGTGGGGTGCAGAGGAGGGGGACCCCAGTCCGTAGTTCCCAGGCACCTCCAGTGTACCCAGGCCCCAAAGCCTGAGAAACTGTCCTAAACCAAAGTCCAGTGAATAACACTGTAGTTAACACTCACCAAGAGAAAACCTGCATGTGCTCCTACTCCCCTAGGATGTTCACCTCGGATCACTAAAGATCATGTGACTTGTCAGAGTATTAATACAAGTGTTTAAACTATTCTTTTTGGAGTCCATATGAATTGATAATTCAAATACTTAGGACCAAGTTTTGTTTTGTGATTTAATCATTAGACTTAGGGAAAATGTGATGATTAGTAATAAACCTTTCATCCTCTACCAATCTAGGGCAATGCAGTATCTAACTCTTACCAGGTTCAGTCAGTCAGTCAGTTCAGTCGCTCAGTCGTGTCCGACTCTTTGCGACCCCATGAATCGCAGCACGCCAGGCCTCCCTGTCCATCACCAACTCCTGGAGATTACTCAAACTCATGTTCATTGAGTCGGTGATGCCATCCAGCCATCTCATCCTCTGTCTTCCCCTTCTCCTCCTGCCCACAATCCCTCCCAGCATCAGGGTCTTTTCCAATGAGTCAACTCTTCGCATGAGGTGGCCAAAGTATTGGAGTTTCAGCTTCAGCATCAGTCCTTCCAATGAACACCCAGGACTGATCTCCTGTAGGATGGACTGGTTGGATCTCCTTGCAGTCCAAGGGACTCTCAAGAGTCTTCTCCAACACCACAGTTCAAAAGCATCAATTTTTTGGCGCTCAACTTTCTTCACAGTCCAACTCTCACATCCATACACTGACCACTGGAAAAACCATAGCCTTGACCAGATGGACCTTTGTTGGCAAATTAATGTCTCTGCTTTTTAATATGCTGTCTAGGTTGGTCATAACTTTCCTTCCAAGGAGTAAGCGTCTTTTAATTTCATGGCTGCAGTCACCATCTGCAGTAATTTTGGAGCCCAAAAAAATAAAGTCTGACACTGTTTCCACTGTCTCCCCATCTATTTCCCCATTAGCTATATACAAAAATGTTCTGAGTATGTAAGTTGTGAATTTTGTGTATTTATGTATCAGTATTTATTTCAAAGCTATCATCTCTATTCTAAATTTCTATGTGAATCCTCTATGTGAATATTATACAGAGATATCACACATACATGCATGTATATGTATGTATATACACCTAGGTGTGTGTGTCTGTGTGTGGAGCTTGCTAACATTAGGTCTTCATTACCTTGAAAATTTGGAGAAGGAAATGGAAACACCTCCAGTATTCTTGCCCGGGAAATCCCATGGACAGAGGAGGCTGGCAGGCTACAGTCTGTGGGGTCACAAGAGTCAACCTAGTGACTAAACCACCAGCACCTTGAAAGTTTGTCAAAGTGAAAAATATTACAATACTTAAAAAGATTGTATTAGTGATGTTAATAATATAAGCTTGTTTTATAATACTTAACCACGTCCTTTATTTGAGACATAAACGTGCACTCTATAAAGAATGATAAGTTATTTGAGATCAAGCATGGGGCTTCCCAGGGTGCGCTAGTGGTAAAGAACCCACCTGCCAATGCAGGAGACATAAGTAAGTGACATGGGCTTGATCCCTGGGTCAGGAAGATCCCTGGAAGGAGGGCATGGCAACTCGCTCCAGTATTCTTGCCTGGGGAATCTCATGAACAGAAGAGTCTGGTGGCTACAGTCCATAGGGTCCCAAAGAGTCAGACGTAACCCAAGCAGTTTAACACAGCACACACACAACACAGCACCTTATAACCTTGGGGGCTCCCCTGGTGGCTCAGCAGTAAAGAATCAATGCAGGAGACGCAGGTTTGAGCCTGGGGGGTGGGGAAGAACCCCTGTGGAAGGAAATGGCAACCCACTCCAGTATTCTTGCATGGACAATCCGATGGACAGGCTACAGTCCATGGGGCCACAAGAGTCAGACACAACTTAGCAAATAAAAAACAAAAATAATTACAACCTTATTTACCCCTAAATGATATTTTAAATGAAATAAGAATCTATATTTCAGTTTAATTTAATTTTCTAAACACACAGTGGATTTTGGCCAAAATTAATTATTCATTTAACTGAGCAGTAAATTTGCTAGTTGGCACTGGACAAAAATCAAAGCATATTTTACATGTAAATCCATGGCTAATTCATTTCAATGTATGACAAAGCATATTTTAAAATACACATTAATCTGTCTGTGTTTAGTTTAAAGGGCTGCTCTTTTAAGAAATTTAACATATCATTTATCTTAGTGTTAGTTGTTCAGTCACGTCCAATTCTGCAACCCCATGGACTGTCGCCCGCCAGGCTCCTCTGTCCATGGAATTCTCTAGGCAAGAATACTGTAGTGAGTAGCCATTCCCTTCTCCAGGGGATCATCCTGACCCAGAGATGGAACCCAGGTCTCCTGCAATGCAAGCAGACTGTTTACCATCTGAACCAACAGGGAGGCCCCACTTACCTTAACAGTATGTCAGAAGTGTTTATTTTAAGTCTATGCTTTCTAAATTTCTGTACATAATTACATATACACATGTATGTGAAGGAGACTAGATAAATAGATGATAGATAAACAGGTGATAAATAGAAGACAGACAGATAGACAGAGAAGAGGAGGAAAGAGTGAGGGAAGGGTAGGGGGAGAGGAAGAGACAGACATGGCAACACCAAGGCTCTGCTGTGCTGTAAGCTGCAGAGACCAGAACGTCAGTGATCTGTTAAGCTCCCGAATTCTCAATTTTAAATGGTAAACTAACTTTACAGCCATTTCCATCTCTTTCTCTGTATTTCCTTTGACACACATGCTTAGGTTCCAATGGACTTACTAATGGACTAAATCCTATTTCAGCTCACGCCTGCCGCCAGCCTGAAACACCAGCCCATGCAGATGTGAGAGCCATAGACCTCCCCACCTTTGGCTACACCTTGGTGTACACCTGCCATCCAGGATTCTTCCTTGCAGGTGGATCTGAGCACAGGACGTGCAAAGCAGACATGAAATGGACAGGGAAGTCCCCTGTCTGTAAAAGTAAGTTGCTGGTGAGAAGTGAGAGTGGGTCCCTGCAGACCAGGATAAGTGTCAGTTGCCCACCAGGCTCGTGTCCAGGTGGAAGATGCCCAAGTAGTAGCCTCTTGGAGGCACTGTCCGTCACCCTCCCCCCAAATCCGTGCTTGCGGTGTGTGAGCTGTGTGTGTGAGTATGTGTGCAGTCTGTGTTGAATGCAGAGGCGGCACAAGCTAAGGAGAGGTGCAGGTCTCATTATTTGCAAATCACATCTTAAGTCAAAGAGAAACACACTGAGTTAAAAGGAAAATAAAATGCAGTATGTCTTTGGAAAATATATTTTTTAATGAAAATGGGCAAAGACCACCAGTGTTAGTGAATATATAGCATAGGTCTGTTATTTTTGAGACCACAGCTATTTAGTGGTAGAATATAAGTTTATGTGTCCTTAACATTGGTTCTGGTTTTTAAACTTACAAAAGCAATTAACACCAGAATGATATACTAATGACTCACAAAGTTGTGTATTTACATATAAAAGTAATACCTAGTCAGAGCTGACAGCGACACACCTTCAGTTTCCTCACCAAACCACACTTGGACATGATGGCAAAGCAACAGAAACAGACATGACAGAATGTGATACAGCCCATGCCTTTAGTGGTAGCTTCTTGGAGCCTATTTCAATTCTGAAAGAAAGAATTCTCTATCTGTGAGTCAGGATTCCCCAGGAAACCCCCTTCTGCCCCACAGGATCCCCTCTAGAAACCCCCTTCTGCCCTCAGAAGTCCACTAGAAAACCCCTTCTGCCCTCAGAATTCCACCAGAAACCCATTTCTGCCCTTAGGATTCCAGCTCAGAACCCCCTTCTGCCCTCAGGATTCCACCAGAAATCCCTTCTGCTGTCAGGATGGCCCTGGAAACCCCATACTACCCCTCAGGATTCCCCTGGAAACCACATTCTGCCCTCAGAATTTCACCCCAGAAACCCCCTTCTGCCCTCAGGATTCCCCCAGAAGCCCGCTACTGCCCGTCAGGATTTCTCTGGAAAGCAAATTCTCCCTCAGGATTCCACCAGAAGCCCCTTCTGGCCTCATGATACCACCAGAAATCCCCTTCTGCAGTCAGGATTCCCCCGGAAACCCCTTTCTGCCTTCAGGATTCCTCTGGAAACCCCTTCGGCCCTCAGGATTCCTTAAGAAATCCTCTTCTGCCCTCAGGATTCCCCTGGAAAAACTCTTCTGCCCTCAGGATTCCAACAGAACCCCCTTCAGCCCTCAGGACTCCACCAGAAACCCCCTTCTGCCCTCAGGATTCCACCAGAAATCCACTTCTGCCCTCAGGATTCCACCAGAAATCCACTTTTGCCCTCAGGATTCCCCTGGAAACCACATTCTGCCCTCAGGATTCCAACACCAGAACCCCCGTCAGGCCTCAGGATTCCCCCAGAAATGCCTTCTGCCCTCAGAATTCCCCTAGAAACCCCTTCAAGCCTCAGTATTCCACCCCAGAACCCCCTTCAGCCCTCAGGATTCCATGAGAAACCCCCTTCTGCCCTCAGGATTCCACCAGAACCCATGTCTGCCCACACGATTCCCCTGGAAACCGCATTCTGCTCTCAGGATTCCATCAGAACCCTTTCTGCCCTCAGAACTCCACCAGAAATCCCCATCTGCCCTCAGGACAATCCTGGAAACCCCATACTACCCCTCAGTATTCCCCCTGGAAACCACATTCTGCCCTCAGGATTCCACCCCAGAACCCCCTAGAGCCCTTAGCTTTCCACCCGAAACCCCCTTCTGCCCTCAGGATTCCCCTAGATACCCCTTCTGCCCTCAGGATTCCAACAGAACCCCCTTCAGCCCTCAGGATTCCACCAGAAATGACTTCTGCCTTTAGAATTCCCCTAGAAACCCCTTCAAGCCTCAGGATTCCACCCCAGAACCCCCTTCTGCCCTAAGGATTCCACCGGAACCCCCTTCTGCCCTCAGAATTCCCCTGGAAACCCGCTTCAGCCCTCAGGATTCCAACAGAACCCCCTTCAGCATTCAGGATTCCAACAGAATCCCCTTCTGCCCTCAGAATTCCCCTAGAAACCCCCTCTGCCCTCAGGATTGCCCTGGAAACCCCATACTACCCCTCAGGATTCCCCTGGACACCACATTGTGCCCTCAAGATTCTACCAGAAACCCCTGTCTGCCCTCAGGATCCCCTAAAACCCCTTTGTGCCCTCATGATTCCACCAGAAATCCCCTTCAGCCCTCAGGATTCCCCCAGAACCCCCTTCTGCCCTCAGGATTCCCCCAGAACCCCCTTCTGCCCTCAATATTCCACCAGAACCCCCTTCTGCTCTCAGTATTCCATCAGAACCCCCTTCTGCTCACAGGATTCCCCGGGAAACTTCCTGCCCTCAGGATTTCCCTAGTAGAAACCACATTCTGCCCTCAGGATTCCCCTGGAAACTACATTCTGCCCTCAGGATTCCCCTGGAAACCACCTTCTACCTCTCAGGAATCCCCTGGAAACCCCTTTCTGCCCTCAGCATTCCACCGGAAGCGACCTTCTGCTGTGAAGAATCCCCCAGAACCGGCCTTCTGCCCTCAGGAATCCCCCCAGAAACCTCTTTTTGCCCTCAGAATTCCACCAGAAACCACCACCTACCCTCAAGATTCCATCAGAAATGCCCTTCTGCCCTCAGGATTTCCCTGGGAACCACCTCTGTCAGTGAGGAATCCCCCAGAAACCACCTTCCGCTGGTGGTGAATTCCCTGGAAACCACTTTCTGCCCTCAGGATTCCCCCACCCAGAACACTCTTCTACCCCTCAGAATCCCCCTGGAAACTACCTTCTGTCCTCAGGATTCCCTGGAAACCCCCTTCTGTCAGTGGGGAATACCCAGGACATTACCTTCTGCTGCTGGGAAATCCCTTGGAAACCATCTGCCTGTGGGGAATCCCCCTGAAAACTCCCTTCTATTGTCGGGCAATCCCCAGAAACATCCTCTGCTGGTGGGGAATCCCCCAGGAAACCACATTCTGTTGGTGGAAAATTCCCGGAAAACCCCCTTCTGCCCTCAGGATTCCTCCAGAAACTGTCTTCTGCTCCTCAGGTTTCCCCAAAAAAAACCCTCTCTCTGGTGGGGAAACCCCCAGATACCACCATGTACTGATGGGGAATTCCCCAGAAACCCCCTTCTGCCCCTCAGGAATCCCCTGGAAACCCCTTCTGCCTCTCAGCAATCGCTCAGAAACTTGCTTCTGCCCCTCAGAATTTGGGATTTCCTTGGAATCCCCCTATTTTCTGCCAAAATTCCCCAGAAACAACTTTCTGTCAGAATTCCTTCATAAATCTTCGGTCAAATTCACGTTAGGAATTAAGTCAGTTATGTTTCCCTTTCCCCTCTCTCACTGAAATAGACAAATACATACTTTACAAAAAAGTGGTAATTTGTAGTTTGATACAAAACTATGAAATCAAAGAGATTATGAGTTAAGTTGATAGACTAAATTAAACATTTTGCAGGGGAAGTATTTTGATGTTCACTGCTAACTGGTGAGTTCATTGATCAGGGTGGAGACTTGGAAAATTGAGATGATTGTAACTCTTTACAAAGTAATTTCATAAATTATTTTTCCCTTGGGGGCAGGAGGTCCCAAAGAAGAGTGAGAAAGGGTATAAACACCCTCCTTTACAAGGCTCTCTGTTGTAGCACAGTGAATGCACAAGTCAGATCCAAATTGATTTCCACTAAGAAACTCAGTTTTCCCACAAAAGCAAAGGACGTTACACCGTGAATATATGGGTTTAAAGTGGAGATGTTTAAGATATTACTACTTTGTGCATTCAAGAAATCTGGAGAAACAAACATTGCTTCGGTTTGACATTTTTTCAAATTTATTCAAAAATAAATGTCTTTTGAAAGTGATAATTTGTCTTTTTACTTGTAGGTAAAGGAGTGAGAGAAGTTAATGAAACAGTTACTAAAACTCCAGGTTTGTATACCAGAACAGTTACAGATTTAAATAAGATGATCTGTTCTCTACTATACTCTGTGCAGCCAAAGAAACAAATTTCTGATTCCTTTAGTCCATGAACAAATTAAAGTTTCAGTTATTTAAAACACCAAGCCCACACAGGTTCCTGTTTCTCTCATAACCATGGTTTGTTAATGGAATAACAATACTTTACTTAAAAGGAAAACCTCTGTCATTGCCCCATACTGTTTTACGAAAAGGTACCTTGGGCACTTTGTAGGCACAAGTGGACATGAGATGTTAAGCCAGAATGTGGTATAACAGAGAGCCTTATAAAGAGGGTTGTGTGCCTCCTCCACACGAGGATGCTATAGTAAGTAACACATCATGACAGCTGTGCATTCTAGCAGTTCAAATGTGGGGTACATCCTTCCCCAAGTATCTCCATCCTCTGCCTCTGATACACTAATTCTCGCTTTCTGTTGTGTGTGATACCTTGCTTAATGCATGCCGTAGCAAACGGGAAAGGTGCAGGTTTATTTCCTAATGAAGATGCTCATTACTCCAAATCACCTGGCCTGTTGTACCTGTTATAAATTTAGAGAATATTTAAACAATATAGTGTGTCCCCAAATTATAATGTAAGTCAAGCTTTAAAAAAATACAACAGAAAACACTTAGGTAAGTTGCATTTTCTGGTGTTTTCTGTATTCAGGTTTTCACACTGGTTTCTTAGACATAAACTCTGTTCCAGGATCAAATGTGGAGAGGTTATATGAAATGCTGTAAGTTCAGTCACAGTTGCTGGGTTTTGCATTTAATTCTTAGATGAGGCAAAAAGTTCCAGTATGGTTAAAGGAATTCATGCATTGTACACCACGAAGTATGAGACCTACCTTAAATTTTTTTCTGTACTATTCTATGTAAGTGTTATTTGAAAATCAAACACAGAAATCAGTGTTCTACCCAGACAACATCTACTTCAATGGAAGACGACACATGGGTGGTGGTGGTGGTGTTTGTTCTGTTTTGTTTACTGGTTTTGTGGGCAGTGAAAAGTCCGCAGGCTCTTTTTAAAATTTATTTATTTTTAATTGAAGGATAATTGCTTTACAATATTGCATTAGTTTCTACCAAACATCAGTATGAGTCAGCTATAGCGCTGCAGACTCTACCTCAGTAGTGTACCCTATCCTCTCCGAAGGGAAGAGCTGAAGAAACGGGCCTCTTTGTATAGGTACACAGTCTAGCACCTCCACTGTGGTGGTTACATTACACTGCAAACCACCAGCAACAGGTCAGAGGACAAGGACCCAAAAGGATCCCCCATGTCCCCAGTGGTCGCAGCTGAGCACAGTCGAGCTGCCCTGCCGACCTGCTGCTTCTGCTGACCAGCCCGGCTGGCCCACCTGACCTGCCAACGAGAGGACCTCGGCATTCACAGCTTCCACCGGGTGTGTCCCTTCTGACTAGGGAAAGCGATCTGGATACTGTTTAAAGGGCTATTTACTTTAGAAAAGGAAGACAGGGCATCTCGGGCTCACTGATGAAAAGTGGGCCTTGGTGATGCTGCTGACGACGGGCCTGCTCAGTGTCCTGAGCGATCAGCAGCTGTGTCAGAGGCCTGTGTCAAGTCTCCGCTTCAAACTTGAGTTTTAAAATTATTACTATTAGGAAATTGGGTCCATCAAAGCCCTCGCAAGTGCTGACATTGTTCTGTTGTCAGGAGATGTCTTACTGGGTCAGCCTGTCTGGGGAGTCAGGCAAACGTCCAGTGGAGCTGAAAACAAAAGAGAACCAGGGACCCCGTGCTCCATCCTCCTCACACTGTGGCCATAAGTGCGTTTGCTGAAACACACTCAGGGAGGCAAGCACCTTTCTTTATACCTGGGAAGTCCAAAAGTGCCTTCTGACCAGCCCCACTCACGGTGGATCTCGTCCAACTAAACATTTTACACATATCATGAGACAGAGCAGAGAGAAATTTAGTGGATTCACTGTTGTGAATTTACATCAGTAAATTCCCCATAAAATGTTACAGCAATATTGTAAAAATAGCAGAATTTTATACTTATTAGCAGAAATGTGAAAAGTTTTAATTTTTTTGTAACCAGTGGAAAGAGAAAATAGCTCAATAATCTTTGTAAGAATTCTTGGCCCAGATGAATTATAATATTTTAAGAAGACAGTTTGCCTTTTGCTTTTGACATCATTTAGTCTAGCTTCCTTACCAACTCTGGACTATTTCTTATTGGGGGATTGGAGTAGAGCAGAAGAGCTAGATGAGAGATTGTCTTTACTTACAAAAGAAAGATCTTGGGAAATAAAGCATCTTTGTTTCCATAAACCGGGTCTTTGCAGTCAGAGCGGTGCTGTGAAATGCAGGCTTTCCGAGGGCAGAAGAGCCCTGGCAGATGTCAGTTCCTCTGAGCCTCCTAAGTCTTCCCATAGCAAGTGGACTCGGATGGTCAGTGACACAGAAGTAGGGATTTCCGGGTCAGCCTGACTGATGAGACCTTACCTAGTGTCCGCAGTCCCAGTTCACTGCACACGCTGGCCCTGGCAGATCTGGTAACACAGGTGTGCTGACGTCCAGCCCAGTGACAGATGACTGTCTGCACATCACAGTAAGCTGCCTGCTCCCGGCCTGGCTCAAGTGACTTACGAACCTGCTGTAAGGAGACACGGAGACAGGTCTTTGTCATCACCATCGTTACTGTTGTGCCGTCTTAATGAGCAATGCTATGCCTTCTGTGTATTAAAACATCTAAGTGTAATTGTTCTGTGAGTGCTTACATTTGTTTGTTTTTCCCCCCACAGTTCCTTCAGATGTGTTTTTCATCCATTCGGTGTGGAAGGGATATTATGAATATTTAGGGAAAAGACAGCCTGCGACCCTAACTGTCGACTGGTTCAACGCAACCAGCAGCAAAGTGAATGCGACGTTCACTGAAGCCTCCCAGGGGGAGCTGAAGTTGACAGGTAGGCACCCAGGGAGCTCCCTCACCAGACCCTCCATCAGTCTTCTGGCTGAGGGGGCACCAAAACGGGCCAAGTGTGGCTGATGTCACCAGGCCTTTGCACCCGCAGCCTCTCACTAGGTCATCTCAGGGACGGGGGCAGACGGATCTATCTCCTCATTTTAAAGTTTACAAAACCAGTACAGAAAAGCAAATTAATCTGTTCCACATTACACACAGATCATGTTACATCAAAGATGTAAGATATATGCCTAGATAGTCACATCTTCAAAATTCACAGTTATGATATGCACTTGCTGTTATTCTTTAAAACTTGTTTGCTCCTGTTGAGCTTTTATTGATGTGTCTCAGTTTAAAAAAAACAATTAAAAAGAAAAGAACCAACTCTGGTTTATTTTTAAGCAAGAGATACTTTTAAGAGAGATATATATATATATATATATAGTTCATTTCATTCTTGCATCAATCTTGTGATTTAAGTATTATTATTAAACACTTTTTTATTTTTTTAACTGGTTTAAAAAAAAAGAGATACCCAGGAAAACTAAGCAGCCTTCCTAAGTGACAGGGCAGGAGTAGGATTTGAGCTCTGCAGTCAGAATCTCAGTGATTAGAATCACTGGTTCTAATCACTGGTTGATTAGAGCTGTGGTTGAGAGCATCAACCCACCGGACACAGAATCACCTTGAGACTGAATCTACTACCTTTTTTTTTTTTTTCTCCAAATTATCTCACTTATAACAATGTATCCTTTTTTGCAGACTAACTTCCAAAGGGTTCAGACTGAGTTGTCCACAAGTCCCAGCCGTGGTTCTGAACATAAGGGCCCCGAGGGGCACCCACACTTCCCTGAGGACTAGACAGACACATGGTTCGCCTCCACAAAGGATGAGAGCCTCTCAGGACCCCTCCCACCCCTCACGCCTCACTTCCCTGCTTCCCTGGCTGTTGCTGTGTGTGCTTGGTCACTCAGTTGTGTCCGACTCTGTGACCCCGTGGACCTTGGCCTGCCAGGCTCCTCTGTCCATGGGGATTCTTCAGGCCAGAATACTGGAGTGGGTTGCCGTGCCCTTCCTCCAGGGCATCTTCCCAACTCAGGGATCAAACCTAGGTCTCCTGCATTGCAGGCAGATTGTTTACCATCTGAGCCACCAGGGAAGCCCTGGGAAAACACCTAAAAACAGTACACACAGTCTGGATTTAAGAAAAGATAAATAATCCATACTCACAGATTTTTAACAGGTACTTATTTATGAATTCATGATCTAGGGTCCCCAATATTGCTTTGCACCTTGACCCTGTGAATGTATAAATGAGATAGACCAGGTGCTCAAATCTAGTCCTGGATCAGAATAAACTGAGAATAACTGAGACTTTGGAAAATATTTAGATTTCTTAGGCTCACCCAGGTCCTTTGGATAATATTTTTCTTCATGGAGTTTGGACTTTTTAACCAAAGGAAATGTTCTCCAGCGTGACTTTGATACAGTTAGGTTTGGATCTGGAGAAAAGTTTGGATCAAGAGTTGTTCAGACTGAGTCCCAGTGGCTAGACAGAAGTCCACCCACCGTGTACAGTCTGACTGTGAAGGACCATACAGGAGGAAGCGCAGGTCATGCTCCTGGAAAGACAGCCAGGACCTGGTGTCCTGTGGGTGATGAATTTAATCACCATAAAACTCTCCTGAATACACATATCTTTACTAAGAGTTTGTGGGAGTGGAGTTCAGAGCTTTAGAGGTTAACCTGTATGCCAAGAACACAAAGCTACTGATGGTGGCGATGGACAGCAGCTGAGGTCCTGGGCTGGTCCTCCCCATCCATGGGTCCTTCTTGTCCATGGGTTCCATTCCTCTTGTGTGACTGGCCAGTGGACAGTCTTCCTGCAATGTTTTTAGAGGTCTGTTTCTCTAATGAGAGAAACTGGGAATTAACTGCTGGAGTTCCTGAAACAGTGCGACCTTCCCTTGAATCTGTCTCTGCACAGAAGGCGTTTGGGTTATTATTATTTAATATCTGTTCGTTTCTTTGTTTACTTACCCATTTGGTTCCTCCTCTGGGTAGGGAACTAGCCATAGCTGCAAACACATCCCCCCATACCCCCACTACACACCCTGACCCCCTGGACAAAACCATTCAGCAGTCATTCAGAGGACCTTTGTCCACCAAGCCATTTATTTCATTTTAATGAGCATAGTTCATCTACATAAGTAGCTATATTGGGGGCTTTTTTAATAGTTTCTCTTTTTTTTTAATTGATTTAGAAATATTTACATTTTCCCACACTGAAATTTTGTAAGAATTTTGTACAAACTCTCCGCATGTCCGTTCAGCATAGCTGTTTTTATCAAGACATCATTTCCTTAGTGATTCAATATTTTTATAGATTATTCTCCATTTAAAGTTATTGTAAAATATCTGGTACATTACCTGTGCTATACAATATATCCTTCTAGCTTGTTTATTTCATACACAGTAGTTTAATCTCCTCTATAATACAGACCCCTGTCCTCAGAAGTGAGTACAAATGGAATAAAAATGATGAATTTAAAAAACTTAATATAAGTGAATGTATATAAATTTTTTTCCTCCTGTGGCATTAAGATGTTGGACCGCATGAAGTAGACAATACTAACTCGAGACAGACAATGACTTCAATAAGAAGTGATTTTTAGGAAAAAAGGAGGACTGCAGCTAAACTTTAAAAATAAAAATACTAACCGTTGTTATTGAAAACACTATCCTCTCTATATAATATTCCATATAAATAGGCCGAGTGCCTACCTTCCTGACCATAAGCATTTCTGCAATGTAAGAATAACCCATGATCCATTTGCTGATGCGCATCTAGGTTGCTTCTATGTCCTGGCAATTATAAACAGTGCTGCGATGAACATTGGGGTGCACGTGTCTCTTTCAGATGTGTTTTCCTTGGTGTGTATGACCAGAAATAGGATTGCTGGCTCATAGGCAGTTCTATTTCCAGTTTTTTAAGGAATCTCCACACTGTTCTCAATAGTGGCTGTACTAGTTTGCATCCCCACCAACAGTGTAAGAGGGTTCCCTTTTCTCCACACCCTCTCCAGCATTTATTACTTGTAGACTTTTGGGCAGCAGCCATCCTGACTGGCGTGTAATGGTACCTCATTGTGGTTTTGAACAAAAACCACTACAGTATTGTAAAGTAATTAGCCTCCAACTAATAAAAATAAATGAAAAAAATAATAATAATAATTAAAAAAATAACCCATGATCTTTTCCTAGGTGTTTACAAGAAGGAGGAGGCCCACTTACTTCTGAAAGCTTTTCAGATAAAAGGTCCAGTGGATATTTTCGTCAGCAACTTTGAGAATGACAACTGGGGACTGGATGGTTATGTGAGTACTTCCTGGAGGGTTTTATAATTGTCATGTCTGTGCAGAGTTGGGGGCACCAATGGAGATTCCTTCCAAGATGCCCTGGGTCCTGTCTGCACCTTGGAAACTCAGGGCCCTCGCCCTGGCCTTGCAGCAGCGACACCCCTTCATCATCTGAGGGAAGAAAGCCATCTCTGAGACCAGAAAGAAACTGGCCAGAGAGAAGAGCTTAGATGCAGACCACACCCAACTCTAACACTGGGGCCAGACTTTCCCCAAAGCCACAGTAACCACCCTGCACGTGCTGAGAGAGTCCCGATGCCCCTTCATAGTGTTTTGCAAGTTAACTCATTGCTTCTGCACCAATTCATCATCAAACGTGAGTGTAAAGGGCTTCACATGATACACAGGAGACAAACAGTAAGTTTTACATAATGCAGGCTCTGAGGTAATTTATATGTGTGTCCCCCTTACAAAGGATACTTAACATATAAATAAGGTGTACATTTTACTACAGTTTTGGAGATCAAAATGAGACAGTTTGTTAATTGAAAGTTCATATCTTTCTCAATTTTAACTATAAATGGGAATCTCAAAAGGAATGACAAATGTTTAAAAGAATTAACCATTAATGTCTAAATAGGAGAAGTAATATTTATATTATGAAAAAGAAGAGGTCACGGTTAATTCTTGTTTCCTTCCTTTTCTCGTGTATCAGGTATCATCCGGACTTGAAAGAGGAGGGTTTACTTTCCAAGGTGACATACACGGAAAAGACTTTGGGAAATTCAAGCTGGAAAGGCAAGGTATGCTGCACTTACATGATTTTTCAAATCAAATATCAGGTTGGTCTGCAGGTGACTGAGCTGAATGCGACAGAAAATGTGACTGGAAAGAAACGGAAACAAAAATAACAGGAGAGACATGTATTTTACAGCTGGATGAAAAAATCTTCTTCATTGTCAAGCAAAACAGAAAATATCAGCTGGCATATATGCAATAAATATGCCAGACACAGAATTAATATCTTTAATATACAAAGAAATACTTTGAAATATGGGAAGAAAGCAAAGTGGAAATTCAAAGAATAAGCAAACTATATTGCCCTAAGAATATCATTAAGAAAGAGTAATTAAAAATGGCCAATAAACTATGAAAAGATATTAACTTGAAAAATATGTATTATGTAACAAAGATAGATCATTTTCAGCTATGAGAATGTCAGATTTGGTGTGGACTAGAAAAAGACACTTGGGTGTTCATTTTTGGTGTGTGTGTCAGTAGATGTGTATAATTTAACAATAATCTTTCATAAAAAATTCTATTGCTAAGATTTTTAATCAGACAAGTGTGACGATGATTTTTTGCATATCCAGGTATGTGTACAGCAGAACTATTCTTTTTTTTTTTCAGTTACATTTATTTATTTTTTTCCTATTTATTTTTTTCATTTATTTTTATTAGTTGGAGGCTAATTACTTTACAATATTTTAGTGGTTTTTGTCATACATTGACATGAATCAGCCTTGGATTTACATGTATTCCCCATCCCGATTCCTGCTCCCACCTCCCTCTCCACCTGATTCCCCTGGGTCTTCCCATTTATTTTTATTAGTTGGAGGCTAATTACTTTACAATATTGTAGTGGTTTTATAATAGCCAAGACATGTAAGCAACCTAGATGCCCATCAGCGGACGAATGGATAAGGAAGCTGTGGTACATATACACCATGGAATATTACTGAGCCATTAAAAAAAAAATTCATTTGAATCAGTTCTAATGAGATGGATGAAACTGGAGCCCATTATACACACTGAAGTAAGCCAGAAAGATAAAGACCAATACAGTATACTAATGCATATGTATGGAATTTAGAAAGATGGTAACAATAACCCTATATGCAAAATAGAACTATTCTAATAGTTGAAATTAGAAATAACTTGACTATCTGACACATATATCATAAATGAATTGCTTCTTACATCAATCTTATGCAATGTGTTACATTAAATATAAGACAGTTTAATTCAATATATGTCATTAGAGAACAAAGATTACATATTGATGTGGAAAGGTGTTCATGACTTATATACATGAGAAAGAAGTTTGCTCTAGATAGACAGAAGGGACAAATATGCCTGCCTGCCTTCTTTGTGTCTTTCTCAAGTACTTGATGTATATCTTAGTAATTAGACAAGAAAAATGTATGGGAAAAAACACTAAATGTGAAGCTTACCTCATCCACTTGCTAGTTTTGTGATCCAGGAGGAATTACAACATTCTCAAGCCTGTTTCGTCATCTGAAATCTCAGTGGAGAGTCAGTTCCCGGGTGGGGAAGCTTGAGAGTCAGTATGAGGGTCTGCTTTGTGCCAAAGCTCTTCTCGCACATATCTTTTCTCATGCTGCTACCAACACAGATGAGAAGGTGCAATTTTTATAATGAGATGAGTGCCATGTTTCTCCTGAATAGTATCAGCTACTTTCTACTTTGCTTACAGAATGCTCCTAACGTATTAATTGTACACAGAGGAGTCCCCTGTGTAGGATTTGATGCCACGCAGTCTTTCAGAGGAACAGGAGTGTAGTATTTGGTGATGGTTGTCACTGATGTACTCATTTCATAAATCCTTTATCAATATCCTGAGGGATTCCAAAGGAAATATATATCAAACTGTATAATATCATGCTTAAAAAAAAAAAACTTGACCAAAAGAGATAATTATAAAATACTCCAAACCCACCTTTCCAAATTAAGAACTTTTACATAGAAGAGCTTAAATTACAATGTCAGCCATGGCTGAGATGATGCTTTCAATGGGGTCACATTATTTTGAGATAATGAAAATAGGCCGGCACTAATGATGGTGAAGTTTTCTCTTGCTCTGAGCCAAACCCTGTGGTTATCTGCCCTCCTTTCTCCAAGGCACATGCTCTAGTAATTCTGTCTAAGGACACCCCAGCGAGCTGTGCACAATACTCTCTGGATGGCAGAGTTTACTGATCTAGTCAGCCTGACCAGAATCATCACTTTGTTGTTGAGAAATTTTTTGCACTGCCCCATTTCTTTTTAATCTAACAAAAGAACAGCTTGCTTTAACAAGTGATCTTCTCATGTGATGATGAGCTTATTGTCAGGAAAAACAATTTGGCTCACAAAATAATTTGAATCACAAGCAAGTCTCCATTCAACTAATGAGGAAAAGTCTATGTGTAAGTAATGCTTCAACAGCAGCCATTCATTTCGGAGTTATGGCTACACTCTATTTTTATGGATAAAAATAAACAACCTCTTAATTGTCTCTAGTCAGTAGATAAATTGAAAAAAATGTGATTATCTTTAAATGGATACTAAAGCAAGTTAGTTTGAAAGGCAACTCTAATGAAAAAATTGTGTACGGAACAAAAATAAATTGGTTTCCCCATTAAAATCAAAGCCCCCAGGACCTCCCTGGTGGTCCAGTGGCTAAGACTCCATCCTCCAAGGGGGGCCCAGGTTTGATGCCTGGTCAGGGAACTAGATACTGCATGCTAAAACTAAGATGCAGAACAGTCAACCAAATAAAAATAAATATTAAGAAAACCTAAGCCCCCCTGCTACAGAATGTAAGAGAGTACAAGCCATGGATTTACTCAGGAACTTGTATCCAGAATATATAAACCCTATGGCTAAAGAGTACACGTTTCAGTTCAGTTTGGTCGCTTAGTTGTGTCTGACTCTTTGCGAACCCATGGACTGCAGCACGCCAGGCTTCCCTGTCCATCACCAACTCCCGGAGTTTACTCAAACTCATGTCCATCGAGTCGGTGGTACCATCCAACTATCTCATCCTCTGTCATCCCCTTCTCCTCCTGCTTTCAATTTTTCCCATCATCGGGGTCTTTTCTAATGAGTTAGTTTTTCACATCAGGTGGCCAAAGTATTGGAGTTTCAGCTTGAGCATCAGTCCTTCCAATGAATATTCAGGACTGATTTCCTTTAGGATGGACTGGTTGGATCTCCTTGCAGTCCAAGGGACTCTCGAGAGTCTTCTCCAACACCACAGTTCAAAAGCATCAATTCTTCAGGGCTCAGCTTCATAGTCCAACTCTCACATCCATACATGACTACTGAAAAAATCATAGCTTTGACTAGATGGACCTTTGTTGGTGAAGTAATGTCTCTGCTTCTTAATATGCTGTCTAGGTTGGTCATAGCTTTTCTTCCAAGGAGCAAATCTCTTTGAATTTCATAGATGCAGTGATCATCTGCAGATTTTGGAGTCCCCCAAAAATAAAGTCTCTCACTGTTTCCATTGTTTCCCCATCTACTTGCCATGATGGGATCGGATGCCATGATCTTAGTTTTCTGAATGTTGGGTTTTAAGCCAACTTTTTCACACTCCTCTTTTACTTTCATCAAGAAGCTCTTTAGTTCTTCAGTTTCTGCCATAAGGGTGGTGTCATCTGCATATCTGAGGTTATTGATGTTTCCCCCAGCAATCTTGATTCCAGCTTGTGCTTCATCCATCCTGGCATTTCGCATGATGTAGTCTGCATATAAGTTAAATAAGCAGGGTGACAAAATATAGCCTTGATGTATTCCTTTCCCGATTTGGAACCAGTCTGTTGTTCCATGTCCAGTTCTAACTGTTGCTTCTTGACCTGCATACAGATTTCTCAGGAGGCAGGTCAGATGGTCTGGTATTCATTTTCCACAGTTTGTTGTGATCTACACAGTCAAAGGCTTTGGCATAGTCAATAAAGCAGAAGTATATGTTTTTCTGCACTCTCTTGCTTTTTCAATGATCCAATGGATGTTGGCAATTTGATCTCTGGTTCCTCTGCCTTTTCTAAATCCAGATTCAACATCTGGAATTTCATGGTTCACATACTGTTTAAGCCTGACTTGGAGAATTTTGAGCATTACTTTGCTAGCACGTGAGATGAGTGCATTTGTGCAGTAGTTTGAACATTCTTTGGCATTGCCTTTCTTTGTGATTGGAATGAAATATGACTTTTTCCAGTCCTGTGGCCACTGCTGAGTTTTCCAAATTTGCTGGCATATTGAGTGCAGCACTTTCACAGCATCATCTTTCAGGATTTGAAATAGCTCAGCTGGAATTCCATCACCTCCACTAGCTTTGTTCATAGTGATATTCCCTAAGGCTGACTTGACTTCTCATTCTAGGATGTCTGGCTCCAGGTGAGTGATCATACTATTGTGGTTATCTGGGTCATAGAGATCTTTTTTGTATAGTTCTTCTGTGTATTCTTGCCACCTCTTCTTAATATCTTCTGCTTTTGTTAGGTCCATACCATTTCTGTCCTTTATTGTGCCCATCTTTGCATGAAGTGTTCCCTTGGTATCTCTAACTTTCTTGAAGAGCTCTCAAATCTTTCTCATTCTATTGTTTTCCTCTATTTCTTTGCACTGTTCACTTAGGAAGGCTTTCTCATCTCTCTGTGCTATTCTTTGGAACTCTGTATTCAAATAGGTATATCTTTCCTTTTCTCCTTTGCCTTTAGTTTCTCTTCTTTTCTCAGCTATTCATAAGGTCTCCTCAAATACACCTTTAGCAGGCAAACAAACTAATTAAAACACTGGCAACCAGTTTGAATACACATTTCTCCAAAGAGATAAAAATGATCAACAAGCAAATGAAAAGATGTTCAACATCATTAATCATTAGGGAAACACAAATCAAAGCCACCTCACACCCACTTGGGTGGCTCAGACCATAACAACAAGAAACAGGTGGAGGCAAGATGTGCAGGAATTTCCTAATTCATACCATATTTCATACCATAATTCATACCATAATTCATATGAGCACGGCTCATACCGTGCTGATGTGAACGTGATGATGGCGCGGTTGCTGTGGAAAACTGCCTGGCAGTCGTTCATCGGGTAGCTGAAACATGGGGCTACCACAGTGTTCAGCATTTCCACTCCAACACATATTACAAGAGAACTAGGAAACACATTTTCACACATAAATCCATACATGAATGTTTATACCAGCATTATTCCCAATTGTCCAAATGTGGAAACAATCCAAGTGTCCATCGGCAGTGAACAGATCAACAGCATGTGGCGCATGCACACAGTGGATGTTATCTTGGAAAGGTCATGCGAAATACAAGAAGCCACTCACCAAAAATCACATACTGAGTTCTTGTATTTATATGCAGTATCCAGAGTGGCTGCATCTATACAGACAGAGGGTACAGCAGTGGTTGCCGAAAGCTGGAGCCTGGTGTAAGGAGGAGGAGGGGGGACTGCTGAGGGGCCCTGTTCAAGTTTAGGGGCAACAGCAGTGTTCTCACATAGGTTGTGGCGATCACTGCAGCATCAAACCCCACATTTTTACTAGTAAAAAAGAAAACCCTGAAATTAAAAGGGTGAATTCTTGCACCCTTGCATTAAAAGGGTGAATTTTATAGTATGTGCATTTCTTCCAGTAGTGCTCCAGCCTATAACGTGAAAAGACACTCACCTTCTTCATTCTTAAGAAGCACAACTGGGAAAATAGCTGCACACTGCGTCTGATGTCCTAGGGCAGCAGCAGTGGTAATAATGGGGGGCAGCGAGAGGCAGGGACGGAGGTGGGGGGCGTGGGCGGGGGGAGATGGGACACAGTGTGTAGGTCTCTGCTGAGATGGGTTGGGAGGAAATCGGGACGCCACTTTGGAGAGAGACTAGGTAAGACTGAGCAACGCTACAAGGTACACGTTCTGTTAGGCAGTGCTTCCACTTCTTAGAATCTATCCTGTATATTCAGCCTTCTGCTGATGCATCTCTGTAGAAAGAGGATTTCATGGTGGCATCACAGAGAAAGACAAAAATGACCCAAATGTTCTTCAGCAGCAAACTGGCTAAATAAATTCTGGTTTAGCCAATTAATAGAATACTGCACACCTGAAAACAATTACATTCACAAGTTCAGATGGAAGAACTTCACAAATATATGGTTAAGTTTAAAAATGCAAATTTTTAAAAATGTAAATAGTATCCCCGTATTTTAAGAAAGTAAGGACAAAGAAACAGTCACAAATATTAATAGTACACTGGGGACTTTCCTGGTGGCCCAGCGGTTAAGACACCGCCCACCCAATGCTGGGGGCCCTCATTCCATTCCTCATCAGGGAGCTAGATCCTGCATGCCGCAACTAAGACCCGGTGCAGCCAGGTCTTATACAAATATATATATATTTGTATTTATTTATATATATATATACACACACATATATACATATATATATACATACACACACTATACTAGTACATTATATGAAGGACGCTTAAGCACAAACAAAAGCAAAACCAAGGACCTTGTTAATCATAAAGAGGAAAACTAGTGCAAAGGGCAAGGCATGACCCTTTATGTCCATCATCTTCATATTTACTTCTATGTCTGCTTATGCCACTTTAATTAATATCATGTACATGTATTACCCTTTAAATTATTAAAACACGGGTAAATAACTGAAATTAACTAGGAGCTCCAGACAGCATAATAATTTCAGAGTCAAGTCAGGAGTTTAATTCAAAAAGACCTTTCATGTTGCCCTTTGTCATGATGTGAGGTCTCCTGTGGCAGGTCCATTATCCAGGATTTTATTAATTGGAAGTCTGAGATCTGTTATGGCCAAAAATATATAGTCTTGCTCACAGATAACAGAAAGTGGCTTTGGTTAATTTAAGCAGACTACAAATTTATCAGGATGAGCAGAGATGCACAGAATTATAAACACCTGGAGAATGAGCCACGGTAACTTAATGGAAACCAGCAGATACTGAACCACTACAAAGACAGCACCATTTTTTCATTTCTCAAATATGTACTGAGCAACTGCTATGTTCGAGGTTCTACTGTAGGAACTGGGGATTTAAGAGGAAAACTGGCCAGACAACTACCCAGGCGTCATGCAACCAATTTTCTAGTAAATGTGGGTCCTGGGGAAACTGTGCAGCTAAGGTTCTAAGTAGCTGACATGTCCTGCCATTTCATTCTCACAACAAATCTCTGAAGCTGGGCCCTTTGAGCAGCACTGGCTTCTCCCTGCTGGACAGGGTAGCTGGGGTCACTGCTGCACCCGGCCTCCAGACTGGACAGGCCTGCCCCGCTGCGGCTGGAACCACCACCACCCCAGGAAGCTCCTGATGCCGTGCCCAGGGCTCCGGCCGCACCGCAGCCCTGGGTCTCTGCATCACTCATGCTGACCCCATGCCCAGCGAGGGAGCACTCTGTTGGCTCTGCTCACAAGCCCATCACCTGGGCGCTGAGATTCAGGAGAACAAGTATCTGGCATCCCCCATGCATGGCAGCTGGTGAATGCACCAGAAAATGAAAAATTAAATCTGAATCATACATGCTGATACAGGAGGATCGCAAAAAGGTATGGTTGATTTACAAGGTGCCAACATCCAGGATAAAATATGTTTACATAAGAACTGGAGGTGGTAGGGAGTAGCATAATCCTGCATCTACTGAAGGTGTGTGTGTGTGCTCAGTTGCTCAGTCAAGTCCAACTCTTTGTCACCCCAGGGGCTGTATAGCCCACCAGGTTCCTCTGTCCCTGGGATTCTCCAGGTAGGGAGTAGCATAATCTTGCATCTACTGAAGGTGTGTGTGTGTGCTCAGTCACTCAGTCAAGTCCAACTCTTTGCGACCCCATGGGCTGTATAGCCCACCAGGTTCCTCCGTCCATGGAATTCTTCAGCAAGAATACTGGCGTGAGTTGTTATACCCTCTTCCAGGGAATCTTCCTGATCCAGGGATCGAAACTGCATCTCCTGCATTGGCAGGAGGATTCTTTACCACTAGTGCCACCTTGGGAAGCCCATCTACTGAAGGAGATGACAATTAATATTATTTTTAAGTTTTTATGAAAAGTTCTTTAAAAGGCTATTTAATTATTTTAAATGTTTGATTACTTCTTTGTATTTGTGTTTTGTAAAAAAAAAAAAATGGAACAGGAAACATCCCATAAATTCTGGAAATATACTTTGAAATGAGGTCAGCTTCATTTTACAGTTCTGCTATATTCAGATGACCCCAGTCATAATTAACTACACACATGCATTGAGTGGTTCCATGCAATTAAATCAAATACATTTCAAAATTGTGTTTTATAAGTAAATTCCTCAAGAATAAACTTATTTGGCAATAATCCCTTGATAAATGTTCTCTGATCTGAACTTTAAGTGTTTGCTTCTTCCTCAGTGCTGTGCAGGAGAAGGCAATGGCACCCTACTCCAGTACTCTTGCCTAGAAAATCCCATGGATGGATGAGCCTGGAGGGCTGCAGTCCATGGGGTCGCTCTGAGTCGGAACGACTGAGCAACTTCACTTTCAGTTTTCACTTTCATGCATTGGAGGAGGAAATGGCAACCCACTCCAGTATTCTTGCCTGGATAATCCCGGAGACAGGGGAGCCTGGTGGGCTGCCGTCTATGGGGTCGCACAGAATCAGACAGGACAGGACTGATGAGACTTAGCAGCAGTAGCAGCAGTGCTGTGCAGAACTCTCCACTTTGGAGATACACAAGTTAATGATCATATCTCCTGCCTGGTGTCTGAGATATTTATACTTGCCTTCCCTTCTAATGGGGCTTCCCTGGTGGCTCAGAGGTTAAAGCATCTGCCTGCATCTGCCTTTGTCTGCCTGCAATGCGGGAGACCTGGGATCGATCCTTGGGTCGGGAAGATCCCCTGGAGAAGGAAATGGCAACCCACTCCAGTATTCTTGCCTGGGAAATCCCATGGACAGAGGAGCCTGGTGGGCCACAGTCCACAGGGTCGCAAAGAGTCGGACACAACTGAGCGACTTCACTTTCACTTTCACTTCCCTTCTAATGGACCGAACTTACTTTATAGAAACTTGCTTTATAACATTGACATGCATTCTTTGATTTCTAAACTCATAATGAATTTTAGAATCTATGCCAATAAAGGTAGATTGCACCAAGATATTCACATGTGATGGGTCTCTGTGGTGGCTCAGATGGCAAAGAATCCATCTGCAGTGTGAGAGACCTAGGTTCAATTCCTGATTTGGGAAGCTTCCCTGGAGAAGGGAACAGCTGGGCTTCCCTGGTGGCTCAGAGGATAAAGCGTCTGCCTGCAATGCAGGAAACCTGGGTTCGATTCCTGGGTCGGGAAGATCCCCTGGAGAAGGAAATAGCAACCCACTCCAGTACTGTTGCCTGGAAAATCCCATGGGTGGAGAAGCCCGGTAGGCTACTGTCCATGGGGTCGCGAAGAGTCAGACATGACTGAGTGACTTCACTTTCTTTTCATTTTCACCCACTCCAGTATTCTGGTCTGTAGAATTCCATGGATAGAGGGGCCTGGTGGGCTGAAGTCCATGGGGTCACAGAGTCAGACATGAAGGCAGTTCCACTTCTGTAGAGACCTGGACTTCTTATGTAATTTCAGTGACTTGCCCTGGGGCAGGAGCAAACAGCACATGCCACCCACATCTGTAGACAGGTACAGCCCTGTAGATGCTTCAGTTAGACTTTACACAAATGTGAGTGTCTACAGCCATGAGCAAAAGTCGGTATGACCACAGCCCCCTTTGCAGTTCTCACACTGGGAACACGGCACTCTCAGTGTTGACGGTCAGTGAGGAACCACCAGCCTTGTGTGTGTTAGTCCTTAAGATGGATGTTAATATCTTGGAAAAAAGTGTCAGCTGCTTCCCAATGGAATGGGAGCACTTTCTGCTTTCTGTAGAGTCTGCCTCTGTTTATAAAGCCCATTGTAGCTCTGTCTCTGTGTGACTGCAGCTTAACGCTCCCTTCTTTTGCAGACCCCGTGAGCTCCGACCAGGACTCGTCCAGTCAGTACCACGGCACCAGCAGTGGCTCCGTGGCGGCTGCCATTCTGGTTCCCTTCTTCGCGCTCATCTTATCAGGGTTTGCATTTTACCTCTACAAACACAGGTACTGTCGCCCCGCCGTCGGGTTACAGACGCTGCGTCTCTCCCCAAGCCCTGGCCCTGCGGTCCTGACGGCCTGTCCCCGCTCTTGTCTCCCGCCCCAGGACGAGACCCAAGGTCCAGTACAACGGCTACGCCGGCCACGAGAACAGCAACGGGCAGGCCTCCTTTGAGAACCCCATGTACGACACGAACTTAAAGCCCACTGAGGCCAAGGCCGTGCGCTTTGACACGACTCTGAACACGGTGTGCACCGTGGTGTAGCCCGCGGGCGGCCGCCTCATAGCCATACCTCCGACGACGGACAGCAGGGACCACAGGTGCCACAAACCCTCCCCTCCGGCCCGGCCCCTCCCGGCCACGTGGGGGACGCGGGCCACAGGCGGGCCTCATCCTGGGAGCGGACCCGCCGCCGCCCTGCTGCGGCCCCGGGGCGCGGAGGAGGGCGCGGCCCCGGGACGCGTGGCCTTGCCCAGCAGCCCTGCCCGCCTGCTGTGGCCCAGCTGCCTCTCAGCGCAGCCTCGGCCGGACGCCTCTGGGCCACACGTGGTAGCACCGCAGTATGGGTTCATTGTTTTGTTTTGTTTTGTTTTTAATCCCCATGAATATTCTGGAAAAAGAAAAAAAAAAAAAGCCCTCCTGAAGAAGACACCTTTCTGGCAGCCGCACACACCTGCAGACGCTTTGCGCCGTCCTCCCCGAGACCGGCAAGCTTCGAGGGCCCCGCAGCTCACCTTGGGGCCACCCCAGGGCCATCTGCAAATTTCCCAGTCAGCTGTTCTCTCGCAGAATTTTTGATGCACAATTTTTTGCACTAGTGTGTTATGAATGACTAAGATTCTGATAAAAAATAAACTATTTACATGGGGTTTCTACACACTATCCATTGTATATAAGCATCCTGCCATACTGTCAAGCTAAGCATTCCAGCTTCAGTTTAGTTAGCGTGTGAGAAAAAAGAAAAAAAATCCCCAGATATGGCACAGGTTTTAAAACGAAAAATAATATCGAAGAGATTTATTTTATTACTGCTTTCTTTTAGCTTCACAGCTGTGTTGAATTCATTGAGAAAGAACAGAGGCCTTTTATTTCCCACATCCTTTCTTTAGTCTTGTCCCCATCCCATGATCGTAGATATTCCACTACTTCATAGAAGGAGGTCTGCAGCACTTTCCAAGTGCCGTGTACAGATGTGAATAGTAATTTATTTCAGGTCGCTCCTGACCTGCCTGTGGGTTTGGGTTCACCACAGTCTTCCTGTCCATCCTCTGCTGTGATTTCTCTCTTTCGCTGCCATCCCTCTCATTTTCTGTTAAAGGACTGTGTGTTCCTGGGACGCAGTGGAAAAGTTTCGGGATGATCAAAATAGTAAGTGTTCCTTTAGAGGCAAGGAAAAGTCACACCCAGTCTTCTTTCCTGATGACACAGATATTACTATTATAGATTTCTTTTGTTCTATGCTATATAATCCCAGATGGAAAGAAAACCTTGGTGATTTTTTGTCTTTACAGGTAAATTATGAATCACAGTATAAATAAAGTATGTATGACTCCCCAGGCAGTAAAAACCCAGACAGGAAGCCGAAAATGCGGGCGTGAGGATGTTTACATAATAAACTCAGAGATCGTGTTTATTTTTACTTACAGTTGTTTGATTAAAAAAAACTTTTTTTGCTTTGAAAAGGCAAGGCGTACGTTATTATCTGAGTTTTAAGTATGCATTCCACTTACTGAGAAGTCCCCTTTGTCCATCCTTGGCAGCATCGGTAGAGACTTGGTTCTTGAGGACATGTTCACATGTAGCTTTAAGACTGATGTATGTGTTTGTTACATGTTTCGATGCAGGGCTTGAAAAGTGAACAATGAAAAACACAAATGTCAGGATAATAGCTGATTCTTTCAAAAGTTTCCATTTGAACATTTCAGTGGCTCCTCCCAGTGGGGCACTCACTGTCTGCTGCCTGTTTGAAGGGCACAGCTGTCGGGAGGCGTGGCCAAGCTCTGTGGCCCCGCCTCTCCCGGCCTCTCCCACCCGCAGCGTGGAGCTCCAGGGTTCGCCCTGGCCAACCTGGCAATGGGACCAAGCGGGCTTTGCAGCCTGGAGTCCTTACGGCTGCTTCTCCTTAGGCCAGACGAGGTGGGCCAGAGGCAGGCTCCTCGCACACCCAGGGAGCCGAAGTGAAGAGAAGACAGGAGGAAGCTGTCGCGTCTTCGTGTGCAGGGGAGAACAGGGTTACTATACATATGAGGTGTATATATATACATACATGTAGATAAATATAATAGCGTGTACATATGCGGTCTGAGTCATTCAAACTAGGTGCAAAACGCTGCCTTCAGAGTCTGAATCAGTGTCTCTCTCCACATCCCTGGCCTGCTTGCTGGTCAGTGACGTTACGAGACCCTGACACGACAGGACATACCTACGTACAGGAAACCACGTATCAGATCAGACGTGATTCCCCTCTGCGTGCACACTCAGAGTGTCCCCAGGTGCCCGTTTGGAGCACGTTGTCAAAGAAAGTGCCCCATGAAATTCCCGTGCGAGAGCCCTGCCCAGCTTCTCCCCAGGCTGTGTGCGGTGTTGATCAGATTCCCGCGAGGTGCTGGAGGTTCGGTCCAAGCCGTCGGCACGTGCGCCCTCTGGTCCGGCTGCAGGGCCGCTTCCGGGAGCAGGCAGAGCCCGAGGCGGGCGGGAGCCCCGGACAGGCCCTGTGCTTCAAAGCTGTTCAGACTGCTGCTTGTCCTACACATCTTGCCTTCCTTCAGGCTAGCTGCAATAATTTTTTTCTTCTGTAAAATATTTTGTAAACAACCACAAAAAAAAAAAAAAAAAGCTATTATAAAAAAGGGGAAGGAACGCTGGCATTACGATCAGGAAACCATCGCCATCAGCCACCCGTCTCGCCACCTCGCCACATGCTGCTGACATGAAGTAGGTGCAAACGACCTTTTTGTACAGAGATATATTTTTTATGAAGAATTTGTAAAATTATTAAATATGCTGTAATTTTTTGATTAATGTAGGTAAATTGTTAAAAAAAATAAATGTTTTTACAATACAAAACTGTAATTTTCCCAATAATGTACAATGTACCATCTCTAGCTGACGTTCAGTTCCGATCCTATTACACATGTATTAATATTAAAGTGACCTGTTAAAATGAACAGTTATCTTTTTTTGTCAAAAAAAAAATTATACAGAGAGTGTAATATAGCCTGTGCAATGCCACCTATCTTTAAAGCAAATCAGAGTTCTAATTAAATATTTAATTTTAGATTTCTATTTTTTGGTGTGAATTTATTTTATCTTTAATAGATGCCTGTGAGTCCCTGGAAGGGGAGGGAAAGAATGAACAAATTAGTGATGGGTATTCACTGTATTTAGAACGAGAGTCAATACTTTTCCCAAGATACAGCATCCCCGTTGTGGTTAATAAAGAGCGCATCTATGAAAAGCACTGATACAGAGAAACAGAGGCTGACAGACTTCTTGATGGTTTTTGAGTTAAAATCAGTGAGAGCTTTCAGTTCCCTCCAAACCAAAATCAAGCCTACACTTTTATGCTTAAAAAAAAAAAAGTGTGAGTTCTTTCGGTAAGCCTTCACAACACTGAAAACGCCATATAAGAAAACACAGACAGATTTCATTGAACATTCCAAGGGTCGTGCACGAAGAAGGCTCAGAGAACACCCCCTCAGGACCCTGTGACAGCGGAGCCAGATCCCTGCTCACTTCTGAGCTGGGGGGACACAAAGCTTTCTGAATCCTTGGTGTCAGGTGGGGTGTCATGCAGTTAACCAGATGATACAGTCATTTTCCTGAGAATCAAGTCATCACAAAACAAAAAAACAACCCAAGAAGAGGCCCTCTGTGGCTTCCAAGTAACAAAGGTTTGTCATCCAGCCTAGTGTGTAGGTCTCCTAGGACCAGTGGATGTCTTTAAATGCCAAGGGCTATGACCTTGCAGGAAACCCAGCTCCAGACACCCACAGACATTCAATATAATCTAACAAAGTAGGTTTTACCACTGATTCTATAGATGACCAAGCAGAAATCCAGAGACGTTAGTGAGATTATCCAAGTATACACAGCTCAGCGATGCTGACGTTAGAGGCCAGTTTTCCCTTGCTTTAACATTCTTCTTTGCCATTTGCTTTAACATTCCTGGGGTGGGGAAATCCGTCTGCTCTGCCTGGATGGTGGGGTTGCGGCACACGGCCTGCATGGGGGAACTTCAGGAGCTGTCGGGAGGCTGAGCACACAACCAGCCATGGGCGCACGCTCGCTCTGAACGCTCACCGGGGCCCCTTCCATGAAGGCCTGTGAGGTTCACACTCTCACCAGCTGGGAGCTCAGCCCACAGTGATGCAGCCATGGGTGCCAGGCAGAGGCTCCTGAGAGCACGAAATGAAATCTGACTGCCTCCTGGTCTTGGCTGAATCGCTCTCACAGGATGACAGCAGGTTTCGACCAAGGCAAAGTGCCCAGAATGACAGGTTCACGTCTCTGGACATCACTGCTTCTGAAATCCAGCTCGGCTTCTTTTCTTCCCATGGCAGAGCCTGGGGAACAGCCTCCCCATGACAGTTTGTGGGGTGTCAGCCTCGATTCCCCCGCCACCCTGAGCCTGGAACCTCCTCCTGGGGCCAGGGGCAGGCTGGAGCCTTGAGGGTCATGGCTCAAGCCCGGGGCACTTTTGCCTGATATGAGGGGTCTCCCAACAGCCTCCGGAAACCAGCCACCCCTCCCCCTCTCCATCACCCCTGGCCCAGGTGCTGGGCTGCTCTCTCCTGGGTGCCCCCCACACCCTTCCAAAATTCTTCTGTTCAGGACGTTCACACTTGTGCTTCCGCTCCTGTTGAGGAACTCGGTGGCTGTGGCTACACCTGATCAGATCCAGAAGGTGCCTCCTCCAGGGCTGTGAGGACATAGCCTCGGAGCTAGACCACCAGTACTGGCTCCAGCACAGTTTCATTGCCAACACAGGAAGAGCAAGAGCCCTGACTGTAAACCCGGCGGCTCCCTTCTGTCTTTGCTGAGGAACAGCAACCAGAGGAGCAAGCAGTTCCTCATGGGGAGTCGCTCACTGGAGAACAGCGGAGCCTGGGTCCAGAGATGTCCCACGGGTGAGTGGTCAGTCTTTCTGCTCCAGTGCTCCGGGAAGTTTGTGGCCATTGAAAGTCCAGGTAAACTAATATTTTCTCTCCTCAACGTGGTGTGTTCTAGAAAATTAAAGACAGCACTAGAATGGAAATTTAAAA